GTAAGATATACTCACTTTACTAGTCCTAATCCTTAGGAATAGTAACAGAATAGAGTATAGAGAGTAAGACTTGTAGACTTGTAGAGTGAGAGGGTAGAGGAGTCCTACTTTAGTCAAGCTACAAGTATAGCCTAGTAGGTTAGTAGTAGAGTACTTCTAAGTACTAAGTAACTTAAGTTAATAAAACTATCTTTTGAGGGCCAAACTAGTCTCCTTATATACTTTTTGCTAGAGTAATGTTACTCTAGTAACTTTAGTAACTCTCTTTACTATTGTTTCTATAAAGTAGAGCTAGCTAATCCTTTAGACTATATACTATACTAGTTTGTGTCTTCTTATATTCTAGATTAATCTTCTAATGACTCCTTTACTATATTGTTATGTTTTCTATACTTTCTCTCATACTTCTAATGACTCCTTATAAGTCCTCCTAACTAGTTATACTGTGTAAGCTGTGTAATACTTTTCCTATAAAGTAGAGCTCTCTATTGTTTCTATAACTCTGTCTGACTCAACTTATACTTCCTGTACACTAGTTTGTAATATACTTTTTTATAAGGTAGAGTATTATGACTTCTAATGACTCCTTATGACTCTTGTAATATAAAAGGCTGTACTTCTGTACTACCCCTAAAACTTACAACCAAAGTTCTAGACTGTCTTGTGTACACTCTAGAACTAACAACTAATGTTCTAAATCTTTCCCTAAGTCTTCTTTAATAGACTTAGTTTAGGAGACAATTATCCTTATTAACTTCTAGCCTTATCTTTATGTTTCTGTATTTAATCATAGAACTTACAACTAAAGTTCTAGATTGTCTCATGTATTCCTCATATTGTTCTTATATAGTTTTCATGTTTATGACTTTATTACTTTCCTATCTATATGAGTAAAGTGTATAAAGGAGACTACTTTCCTATAGTCTCTCCTTAGAGCTCTCAGTTCCCTTTCCTTCACTAGTACTAGTCCTCCTCAAGTATAAAGCTTTAGAGTATTAGCTCTAACTCTTTCCTAACTTTAATAGTCCTTTATCTTTGTATAAAGTGTTTCTAACTAACTATATAGTTTCTCCCTAAGTAAGTATAATATTTTCCTTTTATTTCTTCAGGTTTTCTCCTAGTCTTTTCCTTTATACTTCTTACTCTAAACATTATACTCTTTCCAGATCCTCTCTCTATACAAGCATTCTAAATGACTTGTCTTTAGTTAAGGTTATTAAGTAATACTATACTAGAGTATGTGTTTAACCTTAGAGAGATAAAGACCTTGTTCTCAGGTTTTGTTACCTTTTCCTAACCAACTTAGTACTTACTCCTTCCTGTCCCCTCTCTCTACTAATAGATTGATTACCTATTAGTAATGATTAGAGGTTAATAATGCTGAGCTAGAGTTCTTACTAAGTAGGACAACAAAGGTAGTCTAGTTGATTTAGCTAATCTCTAGACTTGTGACTAATAGGGTTTTGTATATAAACTACTTAGTCCCAAGTCTTGAGTTAAGCTTTTCCAAACTTAGTTACTGTATTTTACAATTCCTAACAGATTACTGATTCTGTTTTACTAGTAACAATAGAGGCTTCCTTGAAAACTCTTAATTCTTTAGCAAGTTGTACTGCTAAATGCTGTACACTCGGATCCTTCTGCCAGCATGCCTCACATATCTTCTACAGGAATTTTTGGCTGCTAGACCATGTCTGCAACAATTCAGGTTTCTCAGGAAGGATATCCTTGGTTATTACAACCATGACCTGCAACTCGGTTCCAAGTCTGTAAAATGGTTTCCTTCGTGTTAAAATTTCCTGATAATGATAGTTGTGCTGAGCTTCTGACATCAAAATAAGCAAGTTCACCAGAACTCATGTAAATAGTCATCCCAAATGCCCAAATGTCCGACTGCTCGGAATACGTCACATGTCCATCTGGTGGCTCAATGATCTCTGGAGACATACATCGAGTGCTACCTCTCTGCGTGCCGCTCTGTGTTACTGCGTTCATTGTATGGGTTGCGACTATTAATCGGGATAAACCAAAGTCGCAAATGAGAGGATCTCCACCCGGGGATACCAATACGTTATCCTGTCAAGATAACTGCCCTAAGCAGCTGATTTTACTTGATAGTAAGGGATACTTACTGATTTGATATCAGAGTGGATAACGATTCGGTTGTGAAGGTATGATATACCCTCAGCTATCCCTCGCGTCTAGATTTTAGAGTGTATCAGCGATGTATATATTGGAACCTAGAGGGTGCCGACCATATGGACAATATCAAGCTCAGGATTTGCCTTAATGTACTTGAGAACTGTTCCGTTCTCTACAAATTCTGATATCAATGCAGGAAGACCGGAACTGTCTACAATGTAACCGAGTAGCGGAAGGATATTTGCATGTTCAAGCTTCGACCATACGCGTATTTCTCTTTCAAAAAGCTGGATAGTATCAGCATTATGATGTTACTACTTTGAAATCAGGCTAGATGTTGAGGAGAGAAATACCTTGATACCTTCGGGATCTTCATGAAGATACATGCGTAAAGTCTTCACAGCAACTATCTTTGTACTAGCATCAGCACCACAATATTTTCCAATTCGTATATCTCCATAGGCCCCACCGCCAAGGTAGCGGGCCTCTGCATCATGAGTGATTTGACCCGTGAGGTTGAGGTCCTTGAGACTCGAAAGCCTTTTCTGGAGTCGATCTTTGTATTTAGTTAGAGCATCCATCGCTAGTGCTACGCTTATTTGCTGGCTGTTGTCATTATTGTGTAGTATTTGCCTAGCTGCACCAAAGATCGATCGTACAATCTGAGCCATCAGATCAGCTGGGGAGGGCATGACAGTGTTTGAGGCGAGGTGTTCATTGCATTGCTCGCCTTCTTAACTCCTGGTTGGGCGCCGTCGGGCCGAAGAACTCCTTAAACCAGTCCTCAAATACAGACTACCTGGCGGCGGGCCGGACAGGGCCAGACTGCTGCAAGAGTGCATAGCTTACTACCCATTTAGAAAATAACAGAAATTCATCAAAGAGCCAATGGACCTCAGACAATGCTGAAAATGCTCTCTGCTCTGCAAAGTCAAGCAGAAACTGAAAACTGAAAAGTATTTAAATTGTGCACGATCGGCAAGTCACGTGAAGTCTTTATCGAATAAGTATTCGAATTTCGGAGCTGCTCAGACCCATTCTAACTGCCTTCTCAGCGCTGTCAAGGATGACTGGGTGCGTGACCACATTAACAAGAATACATACCACATTATTTCATACTCCCATTCAACTGCAAATAGGGACACGACGCGAAGCTCTCAGACCCATTTTATGATTCTCTTGAAGGCGTACTCTAGGACCTCCACACTCAGCACACTGTCATAATTGTGTGTATCGTTCATCTCAGCTCAGCGGCTTGGTCTCGTCTGTGGCGCGGCGCGTGAACCTGTGTTCTAACTGACACACTTTCTGTTACAGTAACGGACTGTACAAAATACAGGTCACGTTTACAATAACCCAAGGTAAGGTACACAAAAGTTAAATTCGACAAGCCATGTCACGTCACAGTCACAACCTTCGCTTACCCGATATGGAAGGACCCTGCGGCCAAAATCGTGAGCTTCACCAACATCACTAGAGGCCCCTTGTGGACAAAGGCTCAGAAGTGACAGAGATTACATATATCTATAGGATTTGAGCCTTATAAAATGCTCTATTCAAGTTCTGAAGCTAAATTTCAGTAGTAGGCTTTGAGCACTAACACATCCTATTTGTATTATAAATAAATGATTAGTAATTTTATTTGTAATATACTATATTTAGTATAATTAGTCATGCTATATTATTTGTCAGCAGCTAAAATCTACTCAAGAAAAATTCAATTTTTTCTTTTACTTCACCAAATGAAAGCAAAATAGAAAATAAGCTGTTTAGTATTGAAAAAGTTAAGATTGTTATAACTTTTCCATTTTTTGTAATTTTGAAAATCTGTTCCACAGAAATGTAGAGAATTGTATCTGCTACATTTCTGTGGTCTTACATTATTAATTTTTGCTTTGTAGTAGGATGAGTTTTGTTACTAGTCTGTAAGCCAGGAAAGGAAGTTAGAGTTTGATCATGTATGTCACACTACTTGTTGAGTTTAACTTTTGTGTACCTTACCCTTCCTAAGAAACCTGAATCATTACAGACATAGTTAAGAAGCCAAAATTATCTGTAGAAGATATGTGAGAGTATAGTAAGGTATGTTAGTAGAAGGATTTAAGCTAACAACTCTTAGCAGCTCAGATTGCTAAAGACTTAAGAGTGTCCCAAACAGTGTCTCTTAGTCCTGGAAATATAGAGTAAGTAACTATTATTTCAAATTAGACAAATGGGTTTAATATTGATTATTCTATTTGTATACTAGAAATACTAGTGTTTACACAAATATAGAACAAATGAGCAGAAGGCTTGTACTTTAAGCTCACATAAAGGGCTAGAAATGACCTTACATGTCTGTCCTAATAAAGCTAGTACTAAAGTTTCTACAACAGGTATAACTTACTAAATTGTAGACAAACTTGCTATTTAAAGGATTCTGATTATTAACCCTAGAATTTTGGACTAATGTACAGTTAGCAAATGTTGGTTCAATTAAAGTATTACCTTCTAATATTAATACTTTGAGAAATCCATCTAGGAAAATATTACATTTGGGTAGTTGGTTAAAAAATAGTAAGCTAGAAGAACTTAGACAATATTAATTACAGACTAACTGTTTATAATAAAACAAATTTTGCTCAAATTGAGGCATGAATAATTGGCTACCTCTACTTCCTAAGACTCTTATACTAACTGGTAGAGTACTAGTTCTAGATCCAGCATGTGTTGCCTATAGTAAGGCTTGTTGTAAGGTAATTGTTACATTATACTCTTATCTCTTTACAAGATTATACATGTGTTTTCTACTTAGTGTGAGTAACAGAACATACAACAAACATGTTCTTAATGTGTTAGTAAAGGCATTTCATGTATAACAGAAGTTTTTTTTTTTTTTTTCAAGATCTTAATAAAGGTTGAAGCTCATGTTGTAGATTGATAGTACTTATATCAGGAAAAAGTCTAAAAGGTTATATTACATTATAATAGTGTGAAAAAAGTGAAAAAAGTAAAAAAAGTAATTTACATATTATCAGACCTCAATTTCTAATAAAGTAGTATAACTTTGTATAAAATACTGTAAGGTTTATTAATGTAATAAAAGTACATAAGGGTAATACCCCTTTTAAACATATAAAATGCATAATATTGGACCTCCCTTTTTTGAAATGTATTGTAAGGATTACCAAGTTTTGAAAGAGTAATACATGTTTGTAATGTTTTACAGAGACTATACATAGTTATTATTTCTTAATAATAATAATTTCCCCTTACATTCATTCATTATTAAAATAACAAAAATCAATTATATTAAAATATTTGTATAATACATTATTATCTACAATAATTAAGGAAAATAAACCAAAACACATACATAGTATAGTCTGTATTAAAATTTGTACAGAGAGTGAGTAAGGTAATTGTTAGGTAGAGGTTAGGATTAGACCAGACTTGAGTAGTAAACAAGTACATTATAGGTGTTAATTGTCAGACTCATCCCTTGACTAGATCCAGACAGACTACTAGAAAGTAAGAGTATTGAGAGGCTCAACAGTTATGACTGTGTTTACAGTTGAACCTGTCCTTGTAAGCACTCTGTATTACCTATCTCAAAATCACCAAAGTCTACTATCTCTACTTTGTACACACTACTGCACCTTGTGTACAGATATTCAAACAGGTAGCTATATAGTAAACTATTAGTAGAGAGCTAGTCAAATTTGCTATAGTCATCAGAATTGATAGTAGATACTAATGAAGAGACACTTACAGTACTTATAGTGTATAATGAGCTGCCTCTGCCTCATTCTTTTCCTAACAGTATCTGTAACAGAAGAGGAAGAATGTGTTCTTAGACTGTTTAATATAGTCTTCAACACTACACTTTGGTCATCACTTGGTCCCTACAAGTTGAATAGTGTGTGTGTGTGTGAATTAAGGTTGAGTAGGTTGTAAAGTCTGAGACTGTACCTGTAAGACAAGTTTAGAGTGATTAGTAAGTAATAATAAGAGAGAAAAGGTAGATACACTATGACAGTGTGTAGCAAGTGTGAGTAGTACACTAAGGTTGGGATCCAGAGTGTTAAACAAGCTGATTTGAGTAGTAAGCAAAGCTGTGCCTGTATGTACACATTATATACACTTTCAATTGTAAGACATAGTCAGAGCAGAGAACTTAGTTGTTACATATAGTTGCAAAGGTGTATCTCTAGAACATTCTAGCTTAAAGGGAGAGGGTGAAGTGGGTAATGTAAACAGACTTGGCTTAGGAGGGGTAAGTAATAGCTACTACTTACTTTATTCAAAATAGTGTTATAGACAGTACTAAGGAATGTAAATGTGTGTAGGGCAAACCTGTTAAGAGTAATGTCAAACATGGAATGTACAAAGGAGTAGAACACATACAGTGTTAGGGAGAGGGTAGTACAATAGGAGTGGTTGTACATGAACATTGTTACAAGTATGCTTGTATGTGCTCATCAATTCTTACTTACACTACAGAGTAGGAAGAAGTACACAAATGTATAGAGTTATTAAAGAAGTTGTTCAGTATTGGTCAACAATATGAATGTATGAATGTGAATTCAAAAAGGGAGACAAATGTAAAAAAAGGAGGACAATGAAGGGGAGTCAATGTAAGTAGTAGGACAAGGAGCAGAAGGAATGGAAGGGAGACAAAAAGTTGGGAGAGAAGGGATGAGCAACTATTGTACAGTCTTTTATAAAGTGGACTGGATGCTTACTACTTTACATTAAAGGACAGTATAGTCAGCTTAGTGGCACAACATACAATCTGGGGCTCTGTACAGGCACTACAACAGTAGATCAGAGAGACAAGTTGTGGCAATGTTTATTGTCTGTGTTGTTACACTCAGAGTACCTGCTGGAGGATGCTTACAAGCAGAGGACTGGGCTGGAGAGAACAAAAGTAACAACATAGTGTCAGGGCAGAGGGTTAGACTTAGAGAGATGGTGGAGGTCAGAGAGAAAGAGTGACAGCTGTAAGAGTGTCATTATATGCTCTCGATCTTCAGCGTTGATTATGTAATCAATGTTCGTGATAGTAGCAAAGCTGTAAAGCAAAACCAATATTATATTTAGATGCAAAAGGAAAGCACTATTTTACTTTATGATACAGTTGATAGTAATCTGACATGTCTATATTACTTTTAACACATTGATATAGTTTTTACAAGTATCTGAATACTTTATACAAACAATATAAAATCTTTAACAAGGTGAATTTTAGTCTGTCTTCAAAGTTATAATCTAAGTATAATACCTTAGCTTATAATGTAAGGTTATCATAATGTATTCAATGAATTGTAATGATTTATAACACTCTTAGAGTCTTTATATACATTAATATACCTTATTTTATCCTTATAGTTGTGTTCTAACCCTTACATATGAATTACAATGTATATAAAATGCTAATATTTCTTTAAATGGACTGTAATTCATTATATTTAAATGGACTTTTTCCTGATGTGCAACATCATTCAACCCCGAAAGTTATGCTTAGTCTACAATATTAGAATGGCAAGAGATCCTGACCGTGTAATACAAACGAGTTGTAATAAAACTCTGAATATATTCTTTGAATTGAAACGTGTCATATAACATTGATTATTGACCCTTACTCTCTCTGAAACTTGTCTGACGTCAGATAGTATGAAAGCTATCAACCGTTGTTGAGTTAATGAGTGATGAGAGCTGTTTGTATTGTATTGCTTTCTAGATTTAACAAAGCATTTGTTTGTTGACTGATCTGACACAGCTTGTGTAGGAACACGTATCAACAGCTATCTACATACTCAGAGAAGAGAAAGGCAATAGAATGACGTAAGGCTCAAAAGGACATCATTACAAGGGTAAAGACGAGTGAATAAAGAATAACTCGACAGTAAAGCACAACAGCACAAAGAGAAAAAGAAACAAATCCGGAAAACGAAAATTGAGTGAAAAAAAACAGGAGAAAAAGAAATGTGTATGATCCAAAGCACCAAAGAAAGCTAGATCAATCATAAAAGATTTAAAAAAGAGAGAGGACAAAATTGTATCATTGTAACACAACAAAAAAGAAAGCGTATAATTATGCATAGAATTAATTACACGTACATCCCCAATCCTCAAACAAACAACGAAATAAAAACAGAGCAAAATAAAGAAATCCGAATTCCTCAATGCATTATAAAAACGATAAAACCACGAGAAGAAATTAGATAGGATACAATCATGTGTCAGAAACACTGGACAACAGCACCTACGACCCAACCTTCCTCGGACTCCCACTCCTAGTCCCACTCGGATTCTGACTTATCGAAGGCGGCGGCGGTATCCCAGCACCAGGTCCCGCAGGCCCATGTACACGCATCCCTCCTCCTCCCCCACCTCTACCACCTCTACCACTCTTAGCCTTCTTCTTCGTCACAACCCCACTAGCAGGCCTCAAAACCTGTCCCAACGGCCCACTCTTCGTCCTCCCCACAGGCGGTTGGTCATCCGGTAACACCACAACACCCACTCCCACTTCCGTATTCCGTACGGGCGGCAGCACCCTCGGAGCTGGCTCTTCTGTCCCCATTTCTCGAGCTAGCTCGAGATCTAGTTAACTTGGCAGAGCTGGGGAGGGGTGATGAATGGTGTGGGTGCACCGTGGTTCGTGCGAATGGAGTGGGCGTTGAAGCGTTGGACGTCAATAGGTCGGAGGAGGCCGATGACTTTTGATGGGTTGTCGACGTGGTGCGGGGTGAGTGGGGCGAAGGAAGGTGGAGGAGGGTAGGGAGGGGGAGGTTCGCTTGGTTGGCACTACACAAGGGAAATGTATGAGTTTTTAGTTGAGGAGGGGAAGAAAGATGATGTAACGTACCCATTCTGAGCATTCCGCTGTTTATTCTTCCCTCTAAGCAGCTTCTTGGGAATCGTTAGGCTCTGCAGACCAAGGTCGCTCGCGATACCCAGCTCGCCCAAACCGAAGAAGTCAACACCCAACGCATCAGCGAAGTTACCCATTACAAGCTCGTTATCCTCATCCTCATCTTCATTAAAGAACGCATCGTCATCCAACGCAGCCTCCACAGTCTATCATCCAACAAAAAAGGTCAGTTAATCATCCAAACACCCAAAAGAAAACAAGAAAAGAAGGAAGAGGGGAAGAAGCAAGTGCCGGACTCACCACCTCATTATACGCATTCGCCAACTTCTTCTCCAAATCCGACAACCGACTTCCATACCTCACCACATCATCCGTGATGTACCGCTCTAAATCCCGGATGTGCGTGATCCCGCTTTCGAATACCGTATGTAGTATGATTTCCTACAAAACGTGATTAAAGTTGTTGGCATGGGTTACGCAGAAACGGGGGCAGAGCGGAAAGGGGAGAGGGAGAGGGAAAGGGGACGAGAGAGGTAAAAGGGAGGAGAGAAGAGAGAAGATAGACGTACTTCTGCGCTCATCTGCTGCGAATACTTATCACACAAATACCGTAACGTCCTCCCCACATTAAACAAATACTCGCTCACTACGCCCGTGAACACGTCCAGTGCGGCTTTCGAGGTGCCTATGCCATCTCACCCAACCAATCATTCCAAACCATACATCATTAACCATCAAAACCGGCCAAAAATAACAAACACAAAAAATAATTCGGTTCCGTAGTCAGCACTCGTAAATAATAAAGACGGGCAGAGAGGAGAAACGCACTTTGAAACCCAGAATGCTCCAACACCTTCCTCCCCACCCACCTCCAACAACTCCCTGCAGCTTCTTCACCTACATCTAACCCTCTCACCCCTCCTTCCCCTCCCCTCCCTCTATCCCCTTCAACCCTTCCAAATTCTCTACTCGACCCTCGTTGCAAACTCTTCAACCTCAATCTCCAAGGTCGGTCATCCACAAGCACATCATCTTTCTCTGGGTTGTCCATCATCCCATTCCCATTCCCGTTCCCGTTCCTGTTACCAAGTCCAGATCGAAACCCCGAATCCATCGGCTCCCCACCCCCAAACTGCGAGAACTGACCCCCACCAGACCCACCCAACGTACTCCCCGCATCATCCAAAACGTTCAGAGCAAGGAACTTATCATGTAACTGTCGTACACGCCGCAGGCTTCGTATGTTGTTATTGATAAGCCCGAGGAGGGATTTCGGTGGTGCTGGTTGTGAGGAGAGGTGGCGGTGGGAGGGACGTCGTTTCTTCTTTTTCTTTCGTATTCGTAGTTGCGGTTGTGTTGTCGAGGGTGCGGCTGTGTCTAAAGTAGTTGAAGAAGTGGAGGAAACGGGGTGGGGCATGGAAGGCAAAGCGTTCGCCATAAGCTGACTCGTAGTTGTCGCTTCCCACCATAACTCAACAGGGTCTATACCATCCACACCATCCACACCCACACCCATACCATCACCGTGAATATTGAAAGAAGAGGAGGCAGTAGTACCACCGGAAGACCTAGTCCGTGTGCGCGCACGTTTTCGAGGTCGGACGTCCCCGTTAACGGCGAGTTTACGTTTATCGCCTACTTCTCCGTTCATTATTTCCATCCCGTAGTCGAGGTCATAGTCGTCGCCTGAGTCGATACTGTCCGCGACGACTATTTGACGGAGTTTCTCGGTGACGGGTGTTGGAAGGCGGGATGGGCCTGCGACGTTATTATTGCTCTGGTTCTCCGGTTCGATATTGAGGTCAAGGTCAACATTGAGGGAGAGTTCACGGTCCAGCGAAGCAAAGTTCGACATCCCCATTGCAGTTCGTACGAAGGCCGGTTGGTCTGCGAACGTCGATAATCGTCGGGGAGGTGGAAGGGAGGGTGGAGCTATAGACATAGGTCGGGAGGTTGTACCCCCAGATCTCTTGACGATTACGGTAGGGACTTTGGATGACTGTAAAGGTCCGGGTGTAGCTGAGTGTTTACGCGAATGATGTCCATGCCCGTGTCCATGTCCATTCCCATTAACCATAATCCCATTCGGTTGTACAGATGCATGTATAGCTCCATGTCCAGGTACGTGTGTAGGTGTAGGTATAGGCGGGTCAAGTCGATCCCTCCGATCCGTAACATTCTTCAACAACCTAATGGCCTTCTCTCGTAACCGCTTCGCACACATCCTCAGCGGGTGGTTATCATCCGTATTATAGACGAAGCAATTCGACCAGATGAGTTCGAAATCATCTTGGAATTCGACTTTGGATTTGTAGGATTTTTGTTTGATTTTGCGGATCATTGTTTGGAGGTCCTTTGGTTCTTTGATAACTATTTCGTATTCTTTCAATCGTTCGATCGTCCGGACAAAATTATTTAATTATTAACACAAGAACACGAGTGGATGGGAATGGTAGGTTACGCACTTTCGTAATAATCTGGAAAGTCAGTTTTAGAGACGGATTTAAGGAACGCCTCTGAATCGTGATTGTCTATTACAGTAATCAGGATAAACCAAAGTTGCAAATAAGAGGATCTCCACTTGATGATACTAACACGTTATCCTGTCAAAATAACTACCCTAAGCAGCTGACTTTTCTTGATAACGAGAGATACTTACAGACTTGATATCAGAGTAGATAATTTTCCTGCTGTGAAGATGTGATATACCCTCAGCTATCCCTAATGTCTAGATTTTATAACGTATCAGCAATGCATATATCAGAAGTTAGAAGGTGTAGACCATAAGGATGATATCAAACTCAGGATTTGCCTCAATGTACTTGAGAACTGTTCCATTCTCTATGAATTCAGATATCAGCGCAGGAAGACCAGAATCGTCTACAATGTAACCAAGTAGCGGAAGAATATTTGTATGTTTAAGTTTTGACCACACGCGTATTTCTCTTTCAAAAAGCTGGATAGCTTAAGTATAATGATGTTACTACTTTGAAATCAGACTAGATGGTGAGGAAAGAAATACCTTGATGCCTTCAGGATTCTCGTGGAGGTACTGTGTAAAGTCTTCACAGCGACTATCTTTGTACTAGCATCAGCACCCTGATATTTTCCGGTTCGTATATCTCCATAGCTGCCACCACCAAGATAGCGGGCCTCTGCATCATGAGTGATTTGACCTGTGAGGTCGAGGTCCTTGAGGCTTGAAAGCCTTTCCTGTAGCCGATCTTTGTATTTAGCTAGAGCATCAACCACTGGTGCTACACTCGTTTGCTGGCCATTGTCATCATCGCCCAGCGTTTGATTGACAACGTCTAGCATTGATCGATCGACTTGGGCCTGCAGATTTGCTGGGGAGGACATGACAGAGTTTGAGGTGAGACGTTCATCATATGATCCACTATCTCATCTCGTATCTGTGATGCGTGGGACACGACACAGCCCGAATCACTTCTAAATCTAGTCGCCAAGGCAAACTGTCCGGACTACTGCAAGTGACTGCAACAGTATGTAGCTTACTACCCAATTAGAAAATAGCATTAAATCAGAATGAGGCCGACAAAGAGCCAATGGGCCTCCAAACAATATTTTTGCTGAGAATGCTCTGCAAAGTCAAGCAGAAATCCGAGAAAATCATATGTATTTATATTGTGCCTGATTGATACGTCACTTGAACAGCCTTATTAAAATTTGAAATCAACAACTCATTCAGCAGCATGAATGTGCGTATCTTACTATCTACCCTCTGTTGTATTTGGTATTGCTGACACGACAATGCAGAACCTGCTGCAGTCGCTGTCCTCACAGCAACTCCACATCCGCGTCTCAGACGCAGAGCTTAAGCGCCTCCTCAGCGCCGTCAAAGATGCAATTAAAGCATGCTTGATGCACGAGGCGATTTTGCTATGTACTTAGTGTAACAGGCATCACAATCGGAATATACCTCTGCAATGTAGTACACTGCCTACTTTGGCGCTGTTTGTGCTTTTTGAGCAGAACGGAGATTAGGTTCCTAGTCCTCGTACAGCAGCATTCATTTAATACTGTTCAAAACATCTTTACGCCAATTGCATAAATGTTGATGATAGGGACACGAAGGAACCGGCGGGATTAAAAATCCGCGCTATACACTGTAAATAGATATAAATAGTTACAGACTAAAAAATAGTTATCCAGCTTACATAAAGACATCCAGATCAGACAGACTCAAGCGAGCCTGCTGTCAGTCTGCTTCCTTGTTTTTGTCTCCAAGGACTATTGGTGGACTCTTGTCTACTTCAAGGCAAGTATCAGAGGTACGTATATGTGTATTGAAGCCTGAATGTCTGGTATTTTGCAATTAGAGAATCGGAAACATGGAGAACATACTTGAAATGTTTGGTGGATCCGGATTCTCGCCCTTCTCCGAGTCCCGTGCGCAAGAGCACTATGAGGACTTGTACCTTCGTGAACAGCCTCGGCGTGAAGCGAGCTTGACACATGAAGGTATGTCAACCGATTTATGTCACCCTGCCGCGCTAGACAATGGCTCTACTGATCCCATATGATTTGTGTTGGGGTTGATTCTGGGTGGGAATGATGAATAGCGCTGGCCGCGGCGGCTGGATTTGCTGCAATGCATGCTTATGAATCTCACCTCCGCGCAACGGGCCAGCCTGTCTCTCATGGAAAGATGAAAGTGTGTTTCCCTAATCTCTGTCACTGCACCATTCTCCTGCCGCTTATCACGTGTTTTACAAACACCCAGGAAATTCTTGCAGCAATTGCTGCCGCAGAAGTCGACAAACTCGCTGAAACGAAAGGTCTCGACTGGCTTGACAGGCACCGCGCAAAGAAGCTCGCAGAACACCAAGCACACGCTCTTGCAGAACAGCGTTACGGAGAATATAATTCCGGATGGGAATATGCGACTGCTCAGCAAGGTCCAGTGCAGGAGTATAATTTCTACGGAGGCGTGCCATACGGGATGCAGGGATGCGGGAGTTACGGGTGGTATGAGCAAAGGTATGGCGGCGGAGGTGGATATGGTGGTGGTGGATACGGGAGTGGAGGCTACGGTGGTGGATATGGAGGAGGCTATGGAGGAGGATACCCTCAGCAGCAAGAATATGGTGGAGGCTATGGTGGTGGGGGATATGGTCAACCTCCGCCTCCACGAGGCTACTATGGTGGTGAATACGAACAAGGACCTCCTCGTGGTTACGGTTATTAGCGCACCTATTACCGAGAGAAACTTAAATCTTTACCACAAAATACTAGCCATTAATGCATCTGGGCATGTTTGACCTCCAATGTAAGTACCGGTGATTACTTAGATTGAGGTGAAAATGACCATGTTTTGCGCTGGCAAGCATGAGCAAATAAGGACAAATAGTGCGTCGAACCCTATTTACGAATTGGGAAACTGTTGACTTTTCCTCTACCACCAACTCAAATTTCCTTGGTTACTTTCATTTAAACGAATCCGTCGAGGCATTGTATTCAATTTTGATTTAAGCTTTATCTTAAATTCCTTGGGATCCGCGACTCTTGAGAACGTGCGGAAGACGCGCTGAAACGACAGGCCCAAGCTTCCCTGCGCTGTTGTTTTTCTGCACTTCCGGCCATGAAACTGATTTTACCAGGCCACGTATAAATGCAGTTAAGCGATAAATTCAACAAAGGGAACTTCTCCTCTCTGGAGTTGACTTGACCACACCTACTTGCTCGTCGCTCATTCCTATTTCTTCAGTCACTGATCATCCATTCCCTCTCATCTTCCGTGGTTCACTGTTGCAAATATGGACAGTGGATCCCTCACGTTCTCTACTCTCGGGCTCGGCTCTACCGTCGGACTCGTAGTCATCGCCGGTATCGGGCTCAGCAACAGCGGTGCGCCATACGGATTTAATTTCTCACTTGGTGTTGCCGTCGAGAATGTTTTGTTTGCTCTAGATTGTGTAAGCCTATCTCGTGCGTGTGTTAGGTTGGAAAAGGCATGGAAGGGGGCTGTCGGAGGACTGCGCAACTTCCTTGTCCATGCTCTGCTCGTGACATGTCGTTTTCTCGTTGCGTGGCTTGAGGAACTTGAACCCGTCGAAGAAAACATTCGTGCCTTTATCCGCGAATCCTCTCGGAGAAAATTTACGAAGTATTTACGTGTCTTTAAAATCTGGGAGTCCCTTCCGTATGACTATGCGTCGGCCCGGTCCCAAAATTACGAATGGAAGTTTACTGATAAAAGGCCAGAAGGGTAAGCCATCCTCTTCGCTTTATAGAACGTTATTGTGAAGTTCTTTTGTAGATACGTTGGTGTTTATCTCCGTTTCCGCAATGCAAGTCCGTGGACGAGGGCGGGCAGAAAAAATGGAGACCAGTTCATAGTATTCGATGCTCGTTGGTCCGTGCCTGCCTATGTCCGACTTGAAAAGGATGGCGGCCTTCGCGTCGATCGAATCAGGAAGAAGTTCAATATTGAAGAGGTCGAGGTTTGTTAAGCTTAATTACGTTTTGTAAAAAGCATTTACATTTGCTGGTTCTAGCTCCTTAGATCTGGTCGCTACGAGACTTACCGTATGACTGCTGGCGATACAATTTCGCCGTTCATGCTACATACACTTGTGGACGAGTACAAGTGCTTGAATATTGTCGGTTCGTGCTTTATGTCGTGAACGGCAGGACATGCGCCTGTACTGATGCCTTACTATTAATCGACAGAGGACGAAGATGAATATTGTCTGAAACGTCGGCGCTTCCGACAATGGTTACGCTGTACGACAATACATTATTGGGTTCGCTTGATTTGTTACTTCGCCAGCGTCCTCTCTGTCGTGTACGCGTGTTGGACCTTGGCTGCATTCATTGCTAGCTTCCTGCCAAGCGACCAACAAAGAGATGCCCGTCACACCCTTGGTATCTTCATAACCATATTTGGGTTTTGGATGCTTGTCGAATACAGACGAAGAAAGATTGGGCAGGACCTTGCGTGGCATGGAATTCCAAAGCGATATTCGATATATTGTCTCGATAAGCACAAGAGGTTAACGCTTTTGTGACCGCAGAAATATTTTGGTTTATTTTATTTTATAATCATGCGAAAAAGTATCTTTTGTGCATATGTTACTCTCCTTGTATGTCGCTCACTTTTTGTATGTCCTTGTATTTTTTTGTTCTATGCGTCTCAATCTATGTGTTTCTAAACATGCTGTGAAAAGCACCGCAATAACCAAAATAAGCAGACGTGGATCACTTCCATCATGATCCAAGTCTGCCTTCCACTACAATACTGGCGCTATGGATGAGCCTCCTTTCCGCCCACCACGACCTCTCCTGCATATACGCAACTTGTCTCGGGCACAAAGAAGAAGTTTCCGATCGTACAACGCGTCCACACATTCACAAACGCGTCGGAACGCGTTGGGACAGCGACGCGTTCTCAGGCTATAACTAGACGCCCACGCGTCGAAACGGCGTGTTTCCTTCCACTCACCGTTTTGCAAGATGCCAAAGCGCGAGCCGACGCCTGAGCTGGAGGATGACTTCAAGTACTTCGTTGTCAATTACCCTTATCCGCTACATGCGAGGATGGACTCCATTTCAGAGCGGCACGAACTTGCACATTGGATCGCGTCGTGTATCGGAAAGGATGACTTGACTGCTGTTTATTACAAGCCTTCCGTGAGTGATGGAATTACTCCCTGTCTGATTGTAATAAGGTTACTTACATAGAGAGTACCGTGTTAATAGGCTCCCAATATGATTATAATTGAGGTTATCAAGGCTTGTCCAAAGATCAACGCCTTCCTCGGAGCTCACAAGTGGCACGAGTTTCTTAGAAACCCCGAGCCGTCTCAGATCAACAATGAGAGTCGTGTCTACTACTGTAGATATGGCTCTGGCCGCGATGTTGAAAAGCACGGCTGGAAACGTCTTTACGTCGAGGATGCTTGGTTCAAGGACTTTGATCCTATCGATGGGTATGAATGATTGTATTTCTTTTAGTTCTCTGCAAGCGCTGATGTTGATTATGTCAGTCCATTTGTCACCAATCCGTACCCAAAGACTAGCTTTTGTGAGGTTCCGCCGGAGACGAAGACTGACTATGGCCTGTGCCGCCCACTCCCAACGGACGTATTTCCAAGGCTTAAGCCGTCCAATAAACAGAACATAGGTATCATATTCACCACCCTACACAACCTGATATATATAACTAAACCAATCTGTCAGTTCCCGGTTCTGACGTGTATGTAAAAAGCAAGGAAGCCGCTACACAGTCTATTGCTGCACCCGTCCCAGTAAAAAAGGCGTCAGTCAAGACATGGGCAGGCGTGGTCTCGCCATCTAATAGTGTTGCACATGATTTAGAACTTGAACGTGTGTTTCACATTCATATCAGAAAATCTTCTTACGTTGACACGTTCTATAGGGCCCTCAAAAGTGTCGATTGCTTTGTCTGGTGGATCAGGCTTAATGACTTCATCTGTTGAAGCTATCGGTCTTCCGCCAGGCCTCGGTTCACCACCAGGGCTCTCGATAAATGTGTCTCAAACAAGCTCGGAGTCCAGTTTCCCAGCTGAAGGCCTTTCAAGTCCTACAAGCTCTACGCATAGGACTCCTACCATCGATGACATCGCTTCAGAAATCTCGGCCACGGTAATCGAGGACCAACAGAATTCCCACGGCAAGAGCGGCGATAATGAAGATGAAGAGCCTGATCTTTGGGCAGACCAGCCAGAACGTCGTCAGGATTGGGAGAAACCGATTTGTCCAGTACATGAAGTCTCTTGTCGTGTCGGCGTTTGTAGTGTCATGGATGCTATTGTGAAAAAGAAGAAACGCGAACAGAAGAAAGACGAACTTGGACAGCAGAACCAAGGTGATGGTGATGGATGGTCTTCTGTGAAGCCGAGAGGTAGAGGCAGAGGTGGAGCCCGTGAGTGGTTTTTATCTTTAGTTTGTGTCAAGCATATAGGCTCATGGTTTCTTCCGTAGGAGGTCAGGTTGGGGGGCGCAGAGGCTACTCTCGTGGAAACGGATTTAAGAACATTGGAGGTGGGTGGGCCTGAGCGGCAGAATTGTATAAGCAAAGTTCAATACAAGTAGTAAAACATGAAATTATCCGCTCCCTTTCTGCTATCCTGTGGGCTAAAATAATGCTGTTTATAGGAATGCTTTCCAGATGCTTTCGTGAATGTAATAATGACTGTACTCTCAAGAGAAATAAAAAAGCAATGGATTACAATAATATTATCGATGTGAAGAATCAGCCTTTGTTCTTGACTGTTGAAGAAAGTGATCTATGGTTCAAGGTGCTGTACGTGTTTGGAACTACTTTTACCCCATTAATTTTCAGTTTTATCATTTGGCTTCTTGCCTTCACCTTGAGCCTCTTTGCCTTTTTTTGTGACTTTTGTTTCTCAGTTTTACTGGTAGAATCGTTTCAACATCGTTTTTCAATGTTTGTACAGCATCCAAGACGTTCTTTCCCGCATTGTCGAGTGTTTAATGATACTTGGCAATATGGTTGAGGTCCTCGTTCAGTGTGTTGCAAAGCAGATGTAGTTCTGCTACGTGATGATCCCGATGTTTTCCGGTCGGCATTCGTTTACAATCGGGTTTGATCAGGCATCGTGCCCAGCTGTCCGTTTCACATATTATTAACGAGTAGTTCGAATTGATGATTATATATTCACCTGTCGCTGGTGAAAGGTACACCGTTTTGCTGCACGGATTTTGACAATGCCAAAATGGAGTTGCAGTGCTGTGAATGGGATGGCAAGTTATTCATATCATCTATTAACTCGGAGTCATGTGTCTTACACAAGTTACATGCAAGTATATTCATGGTCTGTCCTTCCAAAACACCAGGAATCACAACTTTACTTTGTAAGATGCTAAGGATGTCCTTGTAAGAAATTACACTTTTGTTTGGCTGCTCTCTGGCCTCATCCATGCTGTCGCTGTATCTTTTAGCCTGAGAGCCATGAAATTCTTCTGCTAATTTCCCACCTGTTCTTAGTCAACCCAGTACACCGACTTCCTCTTCCTCTGTGGTAATACTACAGCAGGAGGGAGGCATGGACTATTGTACTCTCTGACTGTTTCTCTTCTTTAGCCTTTTCTGTCATTAATATTTCAGCCTCTGGGCTATGGACGATTCTATGTAATGCAAATATGCATAGTCCTTCTCTGTTCATTTAAATAGACAGGAAGTAGCTATGCAGAATTATCTGGTTCAGTAAAGCTACGTATTTACATAGGTGCAAAGTACTGTTTCAGCCTTACAAGTAAGAAAGAAGTATCAGCAATATCTTGTGGACTTACTTATCAATAACAGGTCTAATTTTCTTGTACACTTTGTAAGTTATTACAGTGTGTTCTAACAGGAAACTTTTATCCCAATAAAACAATCTAGCTTTTGTTTTATACAAAAACGAGTACTCTAGAACTATAGAAACTACTTACATTGATTTCTAGTTAGGCCTTGGTTATCCTACTACATCACCAAAACGTGCAGAGTCTGACAAGGCAATATATTTACATGTAGACTTTATAAGCGAATATAAGGATCCACAATATGTAAAAAATATATGTCTTAGCAGTAAATTCCAATACATTTTCATGTTCGATTTGGTGATGACTAGAATCACGAGTTTTATTAGGATCTTAGATACTTTGCCCAGCTTAACACTTAATTGTATAATACATTGACTGAGAATAGCCCTTGCATATAAAATAATATTCATTGGTATTTTTGCAAGTAAGGCTAATATATTTCTAACTCAATTATTTGAAGAGAATACAAGATTATTTCACATTTTGTAATGAATGTGAACTTGTGAAGTAGTTTATTTTTTGATGTCTTGTCCTGAAATTATGCCATTGGTAAGAATGTTTTTGAGATCCTGTATATAATTTAGTAATAACTGTATTCTCAAGAGAAATAGACAAAATCAAATTTAATAATACTATTTGTCTAAAAAAATCAGTCCGGCTTTCTTGGCTGAATCGGCCTAATGGAGACTTACTTCAAGTTGTACAAGATGACTGAATGAAGCTGTCACTCAAACATTTGACATTAAAATGCATCATTCCACACTATTACAATAATCACAATCTAGTTATTTGGCTCATTGGTGACGTATGATTAGGAAGGTATTAGTATCTACTTGACATTAACTTGCCTGATCTCCTGACGCTTTGTCTTTTTGTCTTTTATAGTTAGCAAGCCTTTCTTTTATCAATTTATCTACATTCTCCTTCATTGATTTTATAGCACTTATGACCTTCAGTTGCTCACTATCAGGTAAACTATGGAACGTGGAAATATGTTCTAGGTCCTTTTTTAATGTCATGTAAAGCAGATATAGAACTGCTATAGGATATTCCGGATGTTTGCACGCCGGCACTTTTGCTCTCGATACGTGTTTGCAGTCCGGACTAACAAGACATCGTGCCCATCTGCCTGTTTTGAAAATCAGTGATAAAAATCTCATATAAATGTAATAAGCTGCTTACTTGTTCTTGGTGAGTAGGTGTCTGTTGCACTTTTCTTGATTGCTGTCGTGCCAAAGTGGAGTTGTAATACTGCAAATGAGGAGATTTATCGCTAACTTTAGGTATTATTTGTACATTAACTCTGGCAACTCACATGCTGTTACATCCACAACTGACCCTTCAAGGATACCGAGTACTTTGTCGAAATGACTTTGCCTTTTATCTTGCAGCACTGTGGTCACATCCTGACGGTCCTCACTAGTTCGTTCTGGAGGGTCCGGATGGCCTGCTAGTGGCCCTCCAGATGTACTACTAGTGGTGCGATGCTTTCTGCCATCCGATGATTTAGGATCTTCTGCCATTATAGGAGGATATTGGTACTTTTAGCGTAGTGCAGGTGTGCGTTCTACTATTCTGATCGTTTTATACCGTTAATGAAGAACTTTGCAAATCTGCTTTTAATCCATCACCTTGTTCCGGCTATGTAGATGCAAAATATACTCTTCACGACAGGTGACAAAAAGGGAAAGGATCTTTGCACCTTTGATGGTGATATCCGAGTCCATACTTCACCTGCTGATCAATGAGGAAAATTAGGATTGAGGATGGTGTGGCGAGGATTAGTTAGAGGTCGACTATGCAAAGGATGATGGTAATGCCAGAATTGGCATCGTGTCCTGGTATGCACAAACTTGAAACATGAGGCGGAATGAATGTTGCAGTAGCCGTCGAGCAGAATGGAGCTGAGTAATTCCTGCATGTCCTGTGCAGTTGCTGATGCACTTTGTAACCTGCTGAGTTATTAAAAGATATACTTATCCGAGCTAAGGACTTATGTAGTACGACTCTCGAGGTCGTACATAACCTAAATACAGCGGAAAAGGCAGAACAACTCCACTGCAGTAAGCGCGCAAAGTAATGCCAATTCTGGCATTACCATCATCCTTTGCATAGTCGATCTCTAACTAATCCTCGCCACACCATCCTCAATCCTAATTTTCCTCATTGCACACGCATCCCAAGGAACCTCCTCTTCCCAATGGGAAACAAATACGACAGCTTGTTTCGGATCTAGTTCTTCACGGAGGTATCGCTGTGCGACCTCGACCATGCGTCTGTCCATTCCGGAGAAGACTTCGTCTAGGATGAGTAACGGTGGTTTGGAGACGAGTGCGCGCATGAGAAGGGCGAGGGATTGTTCGCCTGGGGAGAAGTCTGCGAACTTGCGGTCTAAGAATTTATTATTTTCACTCTCGTTTCTTCCTGTCTCGTTGGAATTATTAGAGCTGGTAGACCAATGAGATGGACCGAGAGAAGCAACAACTTCGTCGATCCGCTTGCTTTGCTCTTTAGTAAGTACTCGATACGAGTAAGCCCCGTCGAAACCTGTGCCGATCGCCTCGCGTACTGTAAGGGCGCGACGCGGGAATGCAGCGAAGATCTCGGGCGACGTAATGCCTACAAGACGTTGAAGGGTGATCGTTGGGACGTGACGACGTGGAGAAGAGAAGAGTCTGAGGTTGTTGAGGGGTTGGGTGTATGACTGTGGGTGGGAGCCTGTGAGGAGGGAGAGGAGGGTCGTTTTTCCAGAGCCTATTGAATAAAGAAGAGGGAGGAGGGGTTTGAAGGAGAAATATAGAGGAACGAAAGGGGTGGACTAACCGTTCAGCCCTTGGAGATGCCATTTTTCACCTTCCTTGATTATCCACTTTATATCTTTTAGGACCTATGAAGACTAATTATTAGAGTGATTTCTATTGGAAGTACGTGTAGACGCACATGTCTATCATGATACCGAACATTGACGTTCTTCATAACAACTAGATCCTTCCCTTCCGAGGCCGTCGTAGTCCCTTCATTCACTTCCGTTTTTAATTTGGCGGAAGACTGGCTAGGAAGAGGAGGGGTGAAAGACGTTCGAGACTGCGGCCGAACATGTTGGCCTTCCACAGATGCAACGTGTGTGATCCATTCCGGGAGAGGGTCCTGGGGACGGAGGGCCATGAGAATTCGCGGCTTTCGGGATTCGTGAATATCGTGAAGGAGAGAAGTTAATTTTGGTCTATGTTGAACGTCTAGGCCCGCTATACAGTGATGTTGGAGACAAATAAAAGAAAATAATAAGGCTAGAGCACCTACTTAAAGGTTCGTCTAGTAAAAGTAACTCTGGCTTTCCGAGTAACGCTTTCGCAATCCTAGCTCGTCTTGTTTGTCCATTACTCAGCACGATGAACGGTAAATCCAGAAGCCTCTTCAAATCAAGTCTTTCCGCTAGCTTTTCAAGCCCAGCAATCCCGTCCTTGGATTTTATTTCCGCAAAAAGCGTCTCGCGCAGTGTAAGTCGATCCTCGTCTCGCACAGCACCATAACGTGCTGTATAATCAAAGAATGCACCTCCAGCAGCGCGGTTTCGTGCGGTGAAAGATACGAGGGAGATGTGATCATGTGGGTCTAGTGGAGGTATATGATTGTAGAGAAATGGATAGAGTCCGCCTGATGGAGGTGGTGAGAGACGCATGTAACCCAGAAGCATCTACACAGAAAATAAAATTGTATTGTAAAATCAGAAAATTATCGAACTACCCTTTGGTAAAGGGGTATACATACGTCCAGAAGAGCACTCTTTTCACTCCCGGCTGGACCAACGATAGCCCAGTTCTCACCATCTTTGACCGTCCATTCGAGTTCCTTGAAGACTGGGTCAGCTTTATTCCCGTCACCGAAACGATAGACGTCCGCTCGTGGGATGTGAACGACTGTGTCACAATGAGATAAACTTGATGAGGCTCTAATCCAGGATAGTTTTCTAGATCTAGAGGATAGAGTCGGTATAGATTTTAGTCTCCGGCCATGGCTATGTTTTGCTACTACGAGGAACATCAATCCCGAGTCCCGACGTGCTGTCTATCTGGACGAAAACTGGGTAACATGCTATTACAACGGCTTTCAACTAATGGGTTTATAAGCACTTACTAACCGTTATTATTTTCGTCCCGCGAATGTATCTACGAAGCACAAACTTTGAGTCAAAGCGCGAAACCATGAAACTTTGAAAGCTCCGTGTCGACTTTGCGACGCGTCTCGGTAATCGGCGCCCAGCTTATTGCCACGTACATCGGACGCGCCTCTCTCAACTTTGATTTCGCCACCTCGACTCAACTCCAAAACGTCGGGTAGCGTACAACTAAAAGGGCTGTTGGCTAGCTAAGGGCCTGGATTAGCTACCATGAAGGTCCTGCAGCTAGCTTTCTTGCTTTGCTCACTGCCAACTCTCTTTGCTCTCAAGACAGGCGACTGGAAGACGTGTTCCCAGTCCGCATTTTGTCGTAGAGGCCGAGCTCTTTCTGCACGAGCTAAGGAGGGCGGGTCAAGTTGGAAATCTCCTTATTCTGTTGACCCGGCGTCGATTTCTGTCTCACCGGGAGAGGCAGCGTTCTCTGCTGCCGTCAAGTCCTCGATCTATCCGGACGTAAAGTTCAAGCTATATTTACAGGTGCTTCAGGACGGTGTTGTACGCGTTCGTATGGACGAGGCCGGTGGACTGCGAAAACGATACAATGAAGCAGCTTCTTGGGCCCTTATTGCGGATCCGAAGGTTACTAGTGAAATTCGATGGACGGTTGGCAAGAAAGATGTACGCGCGGTGAATGGTGATAACACAGTCGTCGTGGAGCTCTCACCACTCAAAATCTCGCTCTTGAGGAAAGGAAAAGAGGAGATTGTTCTCAATGGCGGAGGCTTACTACATATGGAGCACTTTAGGGAGAAGAAGGAACAACCAAAGGCCGACCCACCGCCTGAAGGCGAAGAACAAGCACAAGAAGTGCTTGAGCAAGCCACTGAGAAGGTTAATCCGGCTGCTTGGTTTGAAGGTGAAGAGGATGGGTGGTGGGAAGAGTCGTTTAAGTCTTGGACGGACTCGAAACCGAAGGGTAAGGCGCCACTATTTTCTTTAACAAAATATATACTGAATGTTTTATGTAGGTCCCGAATCTTTGTCCCTTGATATTGACTTCCCTCACCACGGACATCTATATGGCATTCCACAGCATGCAACACTTCTAGATCTTCCAACTACAACTGGAGAATCACCAGCATTTGAGGAGCCTTACCGATTTATGAACGCCGATGTATTTGAATATCTTGCCTCTTCGCCGATGTCTCTGTACGGCTCCATCCCGCTGCTGTATGCTCACTCTTCCTCGGGTTCGACCGTTGGCGTCTTCCACGTTATCGGATCTGAGACGTGGATTGACGTCGCACACCCACGCAAAGACTCATCCCATACGCACTGGGTCTCCGAGAGCGGAATACTCGATACGTTCCTCCTTCCTGGACCGACTCCCGAAGCTGTCGCTGCGCAATATGCTCGCCTTACGGGTACTCCAGTCATGCCCGCACAATGGGCGCTTGGTTACCACCAGTGTCGATGGAACTATGTTAGCTCGGACGATGTACGCGGCGTGCAAAAACGCTTTGACGAGGAAGATATTCCTGTTGATGTATTCTGGCTTGATATTGAGTATGCTGAGGAGCATAAGTACTTTATGTGGGATAAGAAGAATTTCCCTGACCCGGTTGATATGATTAAGGATGTCGAAGCTGTTGAGCGGAAGGTATTCATATCATTTTTTCTGGTTGTGATGTTCAATGAGCTAATCGTCGATTCAGATGGTAATCATCATCGACCCGCACTTAAAGCGAACAAATACCTATCCTGTGTACGAAGAGGCTAAAGATATGGACATCATGATCAAAAAGCCGGACGGGACGACTGAATATGAAGGTTGGTGTTGGTCAGGTAGCAGCGCTTGGGTTGACTTCTTTCACCCGAAGAGCTGGAGTTGGTGGAAGAAGCTGTTTAAGACTGAACCTTCGAAGGATAGCACGTTCACTTGGGTGGACAGTACGGAGAACGTTGGGATTTGGAATGATATGAACGAAGTATGGCACTGTTGTGTTTAACCGATGTCGAACTGACCTGGGATTTTCCTTTTGTTCTTTTAGCCGTCTATCTTCAATGGCCCTGAGATCACGATGCAGAAAGACAGCATACACTATGGTGGATGGGAGCACAGAGACGTACATAACATCAACGGCATGCTCTTCGTAAGATCAATTGATTTCATCTCATGCCCCTCGCTCAAAGCATCCTCTACTCCTTAGACAAATCAAACCTGGCAAGCACTCTACGAGCGGTCAGATCCGCCAAAGCGACCTTTCGTCCTGACCCGCTCCTTCTACGCGGGATCCCAGCGGTACGGTGCCATGTGGACGGGTGACAACCTTGGCACTTGGGAACATATGGAAGTCGGCCTCAAGATGGTTCTCTCAAATAGCTTGTGTGGAATGTCCTTCTCAGGATGTAGGATCATTTCCTGCGCCGTAGTCTTCTACCTTGATTCACATACTTAATCATTTGTATTTTGTAGCTGACGTTGGCGGCTTCTTCGGGAACCCTGAACCTGAAATGCTCGTTCGGTGGTACCAATTGGGCGCGTTCTTCCCATTCTTTAGGGCACATGCGCATATAGACACAAAGCGGAGAGAACCGTATTTACTTGATGAGCCATATAAGAGTATTATTCGTGATACTCTGCGGTTGAGGTATAAGATGCTTCCGGTGTGGTATACGGCGTTTAGGGAGACGAGTGTTACTGGGTCTCCTGTCTTGCGGTATGTTCATGTTTACCTTTCTGCTCCGAGTTATTCAAAGGAGATACTAATCTGGGATGCCCGCGTCCTCGTCGTTGATAGACCGCAGTTCTTCGTATTCCCTAACGATGAGAGGGGTGCCTCTCTGGACGACCAATTCTATATTGGATCGTCCGGCTTGCTCGCAAAGCCGATAACGTCGAAGGGTACTACGGAGACGACCGTCTACTTATCCGATAAACAAGTTAGTACTTTCGTTCTTTTTTTTTATTACTATAAAGTGACTAATTGTCGACTACCAGCCCTATTATGACTATTTCACGAATCATATCCATCGAGGTGGCCAAAAGAGCATCACAGTCAAAGCTGAACTCGACCAAATCCCATTCTTCATCCAAGGCGGTTCGATCATCCCCACACGCGAACGTCCTCGTCGTTCCTCACCACTAATGAAGAACGATCCGTTCACTTTGCGTGTTGCACTTGGTGCGTCGGGAAGTGCTCGTGGTGAGCTGTATTTGGATGATGGCGACAGTTACGCACACGAACGTGGAGAGCTTATCTGGCGAGAATTCAACGCGCGTCCTGTAGACGGTAAAGGGAAGAAAGGAGTGAGAGTGAAGAGTGTAGACCTCGTACATGCTTTCCCGAGTGAAGCTGTCGATGATATCTCCTTAACTTCTTACGACCCAACAAACCCATTTGCGGAGAGCGTGAAGAAGGTGAAGGTGGAGCGAGTCGTCGTACTAGGGTTGAGCTCGAAGCCGACTGGTGTGAAAGCTGAGAGAGAGGGAAGGGAATTGGAATGGGAGTTTGTTGAAGGTGTTTCGGCTAAGGGTGCGAAGGAAGGTACGGCGAGTGTCTTGACGATCAGAAACCCCGGTTTGTTTGTTGCGCAGGATTGGGATATTGTTATTGAGTAGATCAGATGTATGCGTGTAGATACTTAGCTAGAATTTGCAACTCTTTGACAACTCTCGGAAGGTCTTACGTCACCTCAAGAAGAAATAGTATATTTGATCGACGGTCGTGCCGTAATCTCCATTATATAATCGTTATGTTTAGCAGCAGAAAATCCTGATATTGCAAAGTTCTGCCTTATTCTCATCATATATCTTCATCGAATATTTTACCGGGCATTTCAAGCCTGTCATACGCAGTGGCGTACACCAGAAGTAAATCTACTTCACGTACTTTATAATATGGGCGCTTCACACTACGCCACTCCAAACCCGTTGGCTTCTGTGCAATTTCCCCTTTGAACAGGGACCTGTGCGTAAAACCGAAAATGCTGCTACCTAATCCAACAGGGGATCGATTTAGTCGTTATACTTTGATGGCTTCGTCTAATTCACAGTGATATATCACGCCCACTACGAATATAACACTGAGAGGTCGACCACCAACTCGATTACAGGCGTGCCTTAACTTCGATACGAGGAAGTGGCGAAGTGCAGAAAGCAAATACTGCAGCTGACGCTATCGGATAGAAGATGAACCTACCGATAACACTACAAAGTGTGCCAAGGGACGTCGAGCTGGAAATGAGCTTGGCGATTACGCAGAGTGTGGTGGAGGTTAGTCATGAAGAGTACGTATCGATTATGGAGGAGGTACCAGTGGTGAGCAGTCCCAAGCTCTTAGTTTATCGTGTGACGTGAGAATCGAAATTTTTAATATTTTTAATAGAGAGATGTTTGGAGAACGCCTTCAGATTCAGCATTCTGCCGCAGAGGACAAGCGATAGCAGCTAGGGCGAAGAAAGCAGGCTCACACTGGAAATCTCCATACTCAATCGATCGGAATTCAATATCCGTGTCGCCAAAAGATGCATCATTCTCCGCTACCATCAACTCTTCGATCTATCCCGACATCGAGTTCAAGCTTGATATGCAGGTCTTCCAGGATGGAGTTGTTCGTGTGCGTATGGACGAGATTGATGGACTGAGGAAACGATATGACGAAGCGGCATCTTGGGCTCTTGCCACGGAACCAAAAGTGAACAATGAGGTTCAGTGGTGCGTTGGTAAGAAGGAGGCGGTCATTGTGACCGGAGAACACACTGTTGTTGTGGAGCTTTCGCCACTTAAGATCTTGCTGTTAAGAAAGGGAAAGGAAGAGATTGTACTCAATGGTGGAGGTCTGCTGCACATGGAGCATTTTAGAAGCAAGGAGGAGCTGCTAGACGACTCGCCACGGGAAGATAGCAAAGAAGCGGAGGAAGCTGGAAAATCCGAAAATCCGGCAGCTTGGTTTGAAGGTGAAGAAGATGGTTGGTGGGAGGAGAAATTCGAATCTTGGGTCGATAAAAAGCCAAAAGGTTTGATTTTCTTATTTGTTTTATTGCTTCATATTGACTCCTGCATACGTTCACGCAGGACCGGAGTCCTTGTCTCTTGACATTGACTTCCCCAACCATGGCCATCTCTATGGTATTCCGCAACACGCTACGCATCTCGACCTTCCAACAACCACAGGTAACTCGCCAACATACGAGTCGCCATACAGATTGATGAACGCCGATTCCGGACGGTATGAGACCTCGTCGTCAACTATGTCACTGTATGGTTCCGTCCCGTTGCTCTATGCACATTCATCTTCCGGTTCGACCGTTGGTGTCTTCCACGTTGTCGGATCTGAGACGTGGATCGACGTCGCGCATCCACGTAAGGATGCATCTCATACACACTGGATCTCTGAGAGCGGAATACTTGATACGCTCCTCCTCCCTGGACCGACTCCCGAAGCCGTTGCAGCGCAATATGCTCGCCTCACGGGTACTCCAGTCTTGCCTGCACAATGGGCACTAGGGTATCATCAATGCCGTTGGAGTTACATGTCCTCGAAAGATGTTCTCGAAGTACAACAAAGATTTGACAAGGATGAATTTCCGGTCGATGCGATCTGGCTTGACATCGATTATGCTACTGAACATAGGTATTTCATTTGGGAGAAGAAGAGATTCCCGGATCCTGTTGAGATGATCAAGGAAATCGAAGCTGCTGGGAGAAAGGTTTGCGTCTGCATAACTCTAGATATTCGCGAGTAATCCAAATGTTTCACTAGATGGTTGTCATCGTAGACCCTCACCTAAAACGAGAGAAGGATTATCCTATATACAAGGAAGCCTATGATCTCGGCATTCTTGTCAAAGAGTCGGACCGCAAGACTGACTATGAAGGACAATGCTGGCCCGGATTGAGCTCGTGGGTTGATTTCTTCCATCCGGGAAGTAGAGATTGGTGGAAGAAGCATTTCAAGACATCTCTGTCCAAGGATGGTGCATTCACTTGGATTGAAAGCACAGAAAACGTTGGAATTTGGAATGACATGAACGAGGTATTCATCCATCCATCTTGAATGCTATGTTGCGTACACGAAATCTAATTCCCTCTAGCCTGCAGTTTTCGATGCGCCTGAAAAGACGTTGCCAAAGGATTGCGTACATTACGGCGGTTGGGAGCATCGAGACATACATAATATTTACGGTATGCTCCTTGTAAGTTTACACCAATCTTTCCACATTCTGTGTCTGAGGTGTAGTCATGGTCCGCTAGGCTGGTTTGACATGGCAGGGCCTCCATGAACGTTTGAATCCACCAAAACGACCTTTCGTTCTGTCCCGCTCATTCTTTGCGGGGTCTCAAAAGTTCGGTGCAACATGGACAGGCGACAATAGTGCTTCGTGGGAGCACATGGAGGTTGGTCTCAAAATGGTGCTTGCGAATGGTTTGGGAGGGATGTCGTTTGCTGGAGGTACGGAACTCTCCTACTTCAAGCTCTTATGACGAATCTGGTACTCAATGTCGCACCTAATCGCAGCTGACGTTGGCGGCTTCTTTGATGATCCCGAACCCGAAATGCTCGTTCGTTGGTACCAACTAGGTGCATTCTTCCCTTTCTTCAGGGCACACGCGCACAAGGAGACAAAACGGAGAGAACCGTACTTGCTTAATGAGCCGTATAAGAGCATTGTTCGTGATGCATTGCATTTGAGGTATAAATTGCTCCCGGTGTGGTATACGGCTTTCCGAGAGACGAGCGTGACAGGTTCTCCAGTGCTACGGTATGTATAGATCCTTATAAAGGAGTGTCGTCGTGACTGATCGTGTTTTTTGTTGATAGTCCGCAGTTCTTCGCTTGCCCCTGCGATGAGAAGGGTGCTTCTTTGGATGATCAGTTCTACGTTGGATCCTCGGGTCTGCTTGTGAAACCTGTCACGTCGAAAGGCGCAGAAGAGACCACAGTCTATTTATCTAACAAGCAGGTGAAGAGCACTCTCAATCGTGCCTTGGTCTTTTATGTATACTAAACGATACGCTTTCAGCCGTACTATGATTATTTCACGAACCATATCCATCGGGGTGGTCAAAAGAATATCACAGTCAAGGCCGAACTCGACCAAATTCCGATCTTCATCCAGGGTGGATCCATCATCCCGACCAGGGAACGTCCGCGACGTGCCTCTCCATTAATGAAGAACGATCCCTTCACGCTGCGCGTTGCCCTTGATACGTCATGCAACGCACGTGGAGAACTGTATCTTGATGACGGGGAAAGTTACTCGCACGAACGTGGAGAACTCGTTTGGCGCGAGTTTAGCGCTGAGGCTGGGGCGAAAGGGAACGGTCTAGTCCTACGGAGCACGGATCTCGCTTTTAGGTTCCCTGAAAAAGCTGTCAGAAGCGTTTCTCTCAACGCATACAATCCTGTCAACAACTTCGCGAAGAGCATAAGAAACGTTGAGATCGAGGACATCTTCGTTCTAGGATTACTTACGAAGCCGGCAAGTGTGAAGACTGGCAGTGGCGAAGGGAGGGAGTTGGAATGGGAATTTGTTGAGGGCTTGCTTGCGAAGGGAGGGAAAGAGGGTAAGGAAGCGAGTGTGTTGAGAATTACAAAGCCTGGTGCGGGTGTTGCCTGTGATTGGGAAATTTGCATTCAATAAAGGATGGGTCTCATGTAAAAGGTGTAAGTAGCATAATAGGGCCGCAGAAAGGGTTGACAGACATGATGCAGTAATTAATTGATAGGGTCTAAGAGCCCATGCATGCACGCTGATATCCGCTCAACAACTGTGTCAACGTGGTCCTGGACGGTAGGGGTTGCCCCGCATCACTGGGGAGGAATCTGCCAACGTGGTCCCGTTATTCCCTCTTTGGTCGGGTCCTGAAGTTGTATTTCTTCCTGCTGCACTCTGTGGAGAAATAGGAGGTGAAGGGATTCATGTGTGCCCTCCTTAGAAATGAAGATGTACATATACACATTGCACTTGCTGAGAGATAACTGCAAATAAGACAGGGAAAGTAACTGTACAGTTTATTTCAACATAGCTCATCTCAGTTCATTAGACATGATAATGTTCTGTATCCATAATATAACACAAAAAACCCCCAAAAGTACCAATCAGAAAGATAGCAAAATGCAGGCATAGCACATGAATAGAGAAAATAATGACAAGTGTTTGTGTACTGAGCCATAAGATTGCTCCAAGCACTAAGAGGGTCAACCTCTTGAGGAGTCAACATATCTTGTCCAGTCTGTTCATAATTCGGCGATGCATACACATTCAGCATCCTACTCATGTCATAGTGTCCATCTCCATGCTGTGCACCGCTGACAACACCCACACTTTGACTGGGTTCAGAACCCATCACACCAACTATGTTCATCTCTGGACGGACTTGCGAGGCGTTTCCGTATCCAGCAGCAGACGCCATCTCTGCTGAGCTATATTCCATCGTCTGTTCGTTCTGCCATTGTGCTTGATTCTGTGCAGTCAAGTGAGCTTGTACCTGGGCGCGTATATGTTCAGGTGGAAGCTGCACGCCGAAGAGTGCCATCTCTGGTGATTGGTGGTTAACCGACACAGAGTACGGTTGGGTAAGGGGCATAAACTGTTGTTGATGCTGAATATGCAATGACTCGTCATAAAACGGAGTCCGTAAAAGCCTCGGAATGTTGGGTGACGCAGTACGCACCAGTGACCAGAGCCTGTGGAAATTCAGATTTGAATACAACCGCCGGACTTGAGACGGGCGAACGAGATCTGCGCAAAGTCGAAGGAGATTGTTGGTCTTCAGCCACAAGACGTGACTTGCCTCCGAGCCTTGTCAACTCATCTTCGATTTTTGGAATCAACTCCGGTGATGATTCGCGCTTTATACCGCCAATTTCATTTCTTGTTTGATTTTGGTATCCATCCATAGATGCATGGGCACGGTTCCTTAGTCTCTCAAGCACAGGCTACGTACGATTGTCAGTTCAGAGGTGTGGACTTCACTCTGTGTAGCTAGAACAACGTACCAAGACCGTCTCGGTCCTACTCTTTCCCCCCAATTGTGCGAACAGGTCGTACGCCTGATCTAGGTCTCTCAGAGCTGATCGAGACAACGCCATACCCGGTCATTTAGCCGGAATAGAACCCAGGACAATCTAGCAAAAACGATTAGATCGCGAATTACGAAGACAATTAGAGTCAGCAGGAAGTAAAGAAAAATACAGCACACGAAAAGACGTGCGTAAACAAAAACCAGTTCCTCTCTGTCAGGTCTTTGTATTGAAGCCACAGACTTTTCACGAGCTTGACGAAGAATGATGCACTCTCATGAGCTCGCAAGACTGAATGGCCATGTTTCCCACTGAGCGGATCTACAGGGTTGTCACTCATAGCTTTTGCGAAGAATCCTCGGTGCATATACAATAGCGCTTCATATAACAATCGATCAGCGGTGATCATTGCTGGGTATAAAAATTTAGAGCATGTGCGATACTTACTGACTTCCTTGATGGCAAGTATAATATGCCGTTGCATTGTTAATACCATTGGCGGATCACCACTAGCTGAGTACATGGGCGCACTGCCAAAGCCGGGGACTTGTAGTGATGGAGGAATATAATAAGCACGGACACGCTTGTCCAGCTCAGTCACGGTCGCGTAAGAAGGGTTCCTCGCGCCGAACACCTGATCATGTACAATACTAAGTAATTCAGACGAGAAACGCTGTTTCCAAGCATGGACTGCGGCCCGATATGTCAATAGGGTGATTGATAAAGAAACGGGGACTATGCGCTCACAAGACATTTCTACCTGTCCGGAAGGAGACTTCGTAGTTTCATGCGCCATCTTGCAATCGATGTGGGCCATAGCCAGGGAGGGGGGACGTCCATACGTCAAGCTCTGCGCAATCTCAATGTACCATGCGAATTGCAATCCATTATCAGCTCCATACCTGCCAAGAGTCGTACACGTAAATCTCCCAAAACAATTCACGACGAAGTTTCGTCTCCTCCAGAGAGAGCTTCCATCGCGTGCTATCGCGATCCATATTGATTTATCAGTTCCCATCAGAAGTGGAAAAGAAGTTCAATTTGACTTACGAAGACCGATCTAAAAGAGGCGGAATTATCAGCGAACTAATAAAAACAGAAAGAGGACTTGGACGGACGCTTTATGCCAACTTGATCACCGTCCCCATTAGCGTCCACCTCTGTGAGTCAACGTCGTTCAAGAACATATAGTGGCACATTATCACCTGCCGGACCATCGATAAATGATTTTGGACATGAATAATCACTAAGTCTCACCAGGGCCTGGATTCCCGGTATGCTCGGATCTTCCAGGACCGCATCAATGCTGAGTGCCGCCTTGGATAGTTGGAAGTACCGCACAGCAGCGGTATCATGCGAAGGTCGTTTAAGATCAACAAGGACGCCGACAGCGAGGACAATGTACAAGAGGGCGAGTCGGTGACTTTCGAACGAGCCCGAATCACGGTCTGTCTCTGCGTCTACCGGCGACTCTGCAGTTGCGTACGGGTACACACGTGCGAATATGTGCTTGTAGAACTGCTCCTTTGTCACTGGATGATACATCCATGATGCATTGGCAAAGTACAAATCGGCAAGCCCACGAGCCGTTGGTGTGTCCGGTAACGCAGCTAGGAGTGTCGAGCGCAGGTTATCCGCGGCTGCCTGGTTGAGCGACGGCGAGAAGGGGAAGACGTGACTTAGCCACGGTATATCCACGGGAAGCGACAGCGTGTGGTACTCTTCGCCATCAGAGTGGTCGCTCTCTTCGTTCTGAGAAGGGTTAATAATATAGGGAAGTACATGTAAATTATATTAGTCAATGACGTTGAGCAGTAGTTCCAGGGTTCAGAAGATATGCGTACTTGGAGAAGATACTGGAGAAGACATTTTGTTGTTTTTCATTCAAGCGGAGCAAGATGAAGAAAAAAAACGAACCCAAGAGTTCGCTGTTTGTCCATAGAAGTTTGTGCGACCAGTATAGGAGATTGACCTTAAAGCTTCATGTTAAACCCTGATCGTTCTCTCGCATAACAAATTTGATATTTACAGTGAACCAACGGCACCAATTGTGTCTTCCTCCCCTTGCGTTCTTGGTGGCTCAGTAATCACCTCTCTTTCTAACGGGTTCTTGACTTTTAGTAGCTCATCACTTAGCAGCAGATGTCTATCATTGTGCATTGCGCTGTGTGCGACTTGAAGGGCATCTTCAAGGGACCGCACACGGTGAGATAGTTCTGCGATCTTTTCGTGCAGGGTCTCTGTATTCGCGAGTACAAATCTACGGGGTAAAGACGGTAACTGAGAACCCGAACCGGATGAACAGTAAAATGTAAGGGATTCCCACCTATTGCCTTTGTCTGTCGTCAGAGAACCTGAAGAAGGTATGAGATAACACTCCGGTGAGTGCGGAGTCATAGGGGCTATTAGAGCCGGGCAGAACAGCGGAAGTAAGCGCACCCTCTGGACAAATTTGACTACAACCTCGCTTGACGCAGGCGCCTGGCCCAGATTGAGGATGTTAGTGTGGATCGAGTGTAGTTCTGATCGTGATTGGAATGAAGGGGATGGACTCACTGCAAGGGAACTTCCTGGTTGCAGCGATCACCGGGACAAAGATTGTTAATCATCCTGTATGATGGCCAGTGTGTCCGACTGTGCGCACCTGTCACAACGCAGCTTAAGCCTGAAAAAAGTAGTTAGAGTATTAATCAACCGAGAGTCGCGAACCAGGCGCCATTTGACAGAGTCCTCGTGTGCCTGGGACCAAGCGACGGCTCACCTCCGACATTCAGCACATGAGAGCGCTGTACTCCGTTTCTTGTTTCTTGGCGCCGGCCCGGCGGAACTGTCACTATGTCTCTTCTGAGAAGGTCTACTACCTGCCACAGAACGAGCGATAGGTGAGGGCATCCGGGATGGGCTACTCATTGCAGCGGAAATCGAAGGTGGCATCCTCAATGTTCCAACTAATACGGGTTGACTACTATCACTTGAGTATAACGTTAAGATTTTGCCGCACCGATGTTTTCCAGGTGAGGATCAAATGTCGTCTCTACCTCCAAACCTATAACACGAAGATCTTCGAGAGTCTGCGGCTTTGCATATGTTTCTTTCTCGGCAATGGCCTGTATGGCGGTAGTGAGTGGGATTCCACTAGATGAAGTACTCTTGCTGACCTTTGCCAGAAGACAGACATCGTATTCGTTGATAATAGCAACATCCACACTTGTCTATCACATCCGTCGGGATGATGCAACTCCCAACATTGATGAATGTACTCATATAGTTCAATATGAGATCCATGGCAAAGTTATGGTCCACAGTATCCTAGACAGCGAACAAGTTCAGTTAGAAGAATGCTTTAGCTAAAGTAGCTTATAAACCTTATCGATCGGGTTCTCTTCATCGGAGTCAACTCCGATGGGAACAACATCTGTGTAAGTATCTTTGTCTACATCCATGTCAAGGTTTGAAGGCCCAGCTGCAGCTCGAAGCGTCGGGGGTATGAAGGTCCGTTTTTTAACGCGATATCCTCGAAGGAAAATGCATTGATCTTTAAATGGTTCTGCAGCCGCCTCAGAAGCCGGAGTATCACCTTCCAACAAGTGATACCGTTCAGAAGGGTTATATGGGTTAGGTCCGATGCGGACAGGGACGACAAGTCTAGATCCCGATCCTCTAGAGAAAGAAGCAGTTGCAGCAGCTGCAATACCACCAACCGTAATCGCAAGTGACCCGCTTGAAGTTCCGTGTACGCTAGTTGCAGTCGCCCAATTAGCAGTAAGGTCGTGCCCAGTGACGAAAATCATGTCCTGCAACTCGAATTCAAAGCCTATGTTGCGAATAAATTGCTCCCAAGATTCGAAGTGCTTGAGAACGTAGGTCTTCAGAGGAAGAAGACAAGTAGCCTCGATACGCTCCGCACTATGCTTCAGATAGAAAGCTGCAGCCTGTTGACTGGACACAGTAAAACTGACTGTTAAGCTTGCAGGAAAGTTTGCGCTAGATAAGGAAAAGATATAGTAAACATAAGTCCCATTTCGGAAGGACAATACGCACGGAGAAAAATTGACGGCTCCTTCAATCTAGTGAATGTGCTGTGATTTGTACCAGAGTCCAGGCTCTAGTGCTTGTCTCACTACCGATTCCCGGCACCTAGCTTCCAATGGTTCGAAGTCCTCAGGGACACCGTATCGAGCATTAATTCCATAATTGGCGGATGCGAAGCAGTTGAAGATCCTTAGCAAATACCCGTCTCTTTGCGCAAGACCAACATCTCCTATCCGTATGTGGTCGTACCCATCTGCGGGATTCGGCTCATATAGTGGGAGTCCATATCCGAGGGATCGAAGTTCCTTCTGGTAAACTTTGCACTCGAGACTCATTGCTGCAGAAAAGGGCGAAAGTTTGCGAACATGCCCTACCAGTGCTTTTTTATTCACAACCAGTAATAGAGTGCTATACAAGTTTGTAGTGATACCCATTTCCATTTATGCACAGCTTCATGCACGTTTTGATACAATTACCAAAGTTTGAGTGATCGATAGAAGACGCCCAATACTGTATATTGCGATACAAGAACTGTGTAATCCCTGATGACATTTTGAATCCAGAAATGTTATGTTGAAGGCTATTCGGCTGGTCCAGCGTCTGCAGGATGGCAGTACACATAGTTTTTCCAGTCTATCAGTGGGAAGTCTCCAGTACCAAATGAACTTCCATTGACATAGACTCTAGTGGAGCCGATGCATAGCCATTATTAATCCAAACTTATCCTTTCATCCAGCTTTGGACTGGGTGCAGTGCAAATGTATGCAAACCGAAGGTAGAACAGTCGACAGAGAGGATAGGGAAACCAATGAGTTGAGAATCAAAGTTTCTGGCTCTGGCATCGCCTAAGAGTGAGAGGTTTGTGTTGATCCAGGGGCGTTTAGGTGGGATGGGGCACACAATAAGATAGAAAGTAGAGTACGAGTGGAAACTCCCGAGAGCCTGTAGGAAACTAGTTTTCCACAGCACAGGTCATTTTGCTGGGCCTCTGGAGGCGTGGTAAACCTCGCGTGGACAACACTTAGTCAGTATATTAGTAATATCATTATAATGTTCCAAAAAGGTAATTTTTAAGAATTTTGTGCTGTACCTCTATTGAGCTGAAAATTTAGGTGTAATATTAATTTCAGATGTTGGTTATACTGCTGAGAGCAATTATATTGTGTTTTATAGTCTACCAGTGTTGAAACCTACATAATAAAGAGATATATCTAAGAGAAATAAAAAGAAAGAGGCAACCAGTTACATTGATCAGGCTTTATTACTGTTCAAAATTTGTAAATCATCCAAAGAGGTACTGGAAATATTGTCCACATCTATCACTTGTACCTCTCTATTTTTATCAGAGTGTACTCCTTCAAATGAAGGAGTATCTGAAAGAATGTCAGGCAAAGTAGGAGATGTTGACCTAATAAAATGACAGACATAGAGTATATGCACTCTCAAACTATCTATTTTCCTTGCTTTTTGTCAGGTTGAGGCATTTTTTTCTTAATTTATCTACTGACATAATATTATGTATGACTAATACATTTGAGTTTTCCACAGACCAATTTCCGGCAACCCTTGTGGTAGTGAGGTTTACCTCGTGGGAAACCTCTGTGGTAATCCTCACTGTGGGAAACTAGGGAGTTTCCACTCGTACTCTAATAGAAAGTCCTACACTAACTAGTGCTGACCGTTGACGTCATCCGTCTATTGATCAGCAATGTGTTGCTGCTTCGCGGTCACGTGATACAGCATTTCTGTTCTGTTTCGTTTTCCACGAGTCCACGACCAACATTGGCATCAACGCAACCTTCTCAAACCTCTGAGTTCTCCCACATGTATGACCATTGGAAGACGTTGTGGCCATGCGCGTACTAGCATTCTCCTTACTCTTTCTACAGCATCTTCTCTCCCTTCAGACGGTCTTCTCATTACCGTTCTCTCTTCTGAGGATGGTATCTTCGGCTGAAGCTCGGCGTCGAAATTCACTTGCTCATATTTCTGTACGGGCGCCGGATGTTCACTCGGATAATGCCTGACGTGGTCGTTGAAATATACTCTGACTGCATAGTCATAGGGCCGATCACGAAGGCGGACGGACCGGCTGGGTTAGAGCTACTTCCAGCCTGTGGGATCCTTGGTATAAATTCCTCTTGGCTACTCGTGCACGTCGAGCTACTTGTACTTTTGGCGAAGTCTATCTCTCTGGATTCTAAGAAATGAAGCTGCAGACAACTACTTCTTTGTCTATCCTGCTTTCATTTGCTGCGTTGGCAAAGGGCCAGCAGTCCGTCTGGGGACAATGTATGGATTTGATGCCAATATATGAGTCATTTACTGAACTAATTGCTTGAATGACAAGGTGGGGGAATAGGATGGACGGGAGCTACAACCTGTGTTTCCGGGTATATACAATACTCTTTGTTCAGCATGGTAAAAACTCACTCGTTTTAGCTCAACATGCACGAAGCAGAATGATTGTGCGTGCTTCATATATAATGTCTTGATATATTGTGGCTCACCTAGAATGTGTTCTAACAAAGATTATTCCCAATGCATACCTGGTGCGGCCAGCAGCGCGCCAACACCAACCTCCACCTCTGCGGCAGGAGCGCCGACAGCAACATTGCCGAGTGGAGTCAACTTCTGGTTCAGCTTGTGAGCGTTGTTTTATTTTCTGTTGCAGGGTGAAAATTGAAGGGGAGAGTTTAGTGGAGACTCGTACACGCAGACGGGCTTTGATCCGACTGGTGTGCTTCCTACTGTAGGAAACCCAATGGGGAATCCTCCCTATCCAGTAAGATACTGTTTCATCTAACACTGTCTAATCTCCTAATTCTTATGTTATGTGACTCAGGGATACACTGCCGTTGGTGGTGTTAACTGGATAGACTTGTTGACCGTACAGTTCAACAATTCTCTGATTCTCACTTACAACTATGCATATGGAGGCGCAACAATTGACGGTGAGAAACAATTATGTATACATCTAATGAGCATAGCCCAGGAACTGACCATACGATATTAATTAGCGTCGCTCGTTCAGCCTTATGAACCTACCGTCTTGTCTATGACAGACCAAGTTAACGAGTTCCTTACTGGAACTGCAAAGAAGCCTGCGACAACCCTATGGACAGGCGCTGACGCTCTATTCTCATTCTGGATTGGGATTAATGATATTGGGAACAGTTATTATCAGAGTGGGGATCGAGATGCGTTAGTCCCATGATCTACGATCACTGCGTTTTGGTCCTTATATGATGGTATCTATTCAGGTTTTCGGACACGCTTCTTGACGCATATTTCGCACTCGTCGAGAAAATCGTGAGTATCTAGAAATTTTGCAATATCTGAAGAGTCTGAATTGCTTTGTTTTATAGTAGTATATTTGAATGTCCTTACATACTACGATAGTCCGCTGATTAGACTACAGCGTCGTTGGAGGCCGGAATTTTTTATTTGTCAACGTCCCTCCCGTTGACCGGTCTCCTTTGGCGAGTCGTAGCGTGTGCCCTTTACATGACGTACTTACCGATACGTTTTCCTTCCATTGACCGTATTGCAGATGCTAGCTCAAGCTGCGTCTGCACAGGCTCTTGAGAAGAGCGTCATAGCTGGATACAACACGAAGCTGGCACAGCGCGCAACTCAACTCGTGGCCAACCACTCTGATGTGCACATTCTCGTTTTCACTACCTGCGTGATTTGCATGTGATATTGATATTTACGATTTAGGCCAAGACCTGGGTATGGGATTCAAACACAGTATTCACGGTGTTCCTCGACAACCCGACTGCATTTGGCTTCGTCGATGCCACGTCGTATGGAGCTACCGGAGATTTCTGGGGGTGCGTTGTCGACGTCTCATTGACCCGGATTAATGCTAAATATACCCATTGTCACTTTACGCTCAAATAGGAACAATCTCCACCCTTCCGGTACGTAATTTTTACATCGCAATGCATAATGTGTGGGTTTGGCTTACTAATATATATTTTGTTCAGCTGCAGCACATACGATCTTGGCGCAAAATTGCTCGACAGTCTTGGATGGGACCGTCTGGTAGTTTATGGTGTGCCTACATCCCTAGCTGAATCTTCCATGTGTGTGTGCTATTGATTCACGACGGAAATTATTGCCGAACTGGCATGTAACCGCTCCAAAGCAGTAAATGGCGTATTCCTTCGCGAATCGAGCAGTGATGAAGAGATGAAAATAAAGATGTCAAGAGCCATGGCATTTTGCGAACCAAATGGCTTCATTCACCAAATCAGTCTAGCGACGTGCAAGAAGGATGGTAGGAGCTTCGGGACCGAGGCTTACAAGGGACCGAAAGAATAAGGCAAAGAGACGAACAAGCCCATATTGTGCCTCAAAGGAAGCGGCCTAGAATTGTAAAGATCGGACATCTGCTCGTACAGTCCAGGTCGTGACGTGCCAGATATCGGAACTTTTTAAGTCGTGGCGACTACTGCCTTGAGAGGTAATGAGTTCTCGAAGTTCTTTATATCGACGCGCTGAAATCCGACCGTCGGCGGCCCGGGACATGTCTTTGGGCACATTATCCCCTATTCTTAATCTTCAAGATGAGTTCTTCCCTTCTCCCTGCGCAATCGCCTTCAGTGAAGAGAGAGCCTCGTCGGCGAATGCTCGGTACGCAAATGACTGACAAGACAAACGGACAAACGGAGGCACAACTTCGATCGCGACATACGATTCACATTTAGCCCACACTTTCCATATGAAAATGAAGAATCGAAGAAAGGAACGAGCATATGTACCTCAGTCATCTGTAGAGTTGTCGGTGGTTCTGAATTGCAAACCTCGGACTCGATTCGGTCCTTACGATGATCGACGCGAACCCCTGCACGCGAACTCCTGCTCAACTTAGTTTTTCCTTCCGTTCGTCTAATACTTCAGACCCATTGGAGTCGTGCAGGGACGTCCGACTGACGGTATTAAGCACTACAGAGCAGCTGAACACGTAAAGGAGTTGCTTTTTTCTTATCACACATCGGGTTTTTATCGGTGATTCTATCAGTCTTGCCGTCTATAAAGCTCAAAGATTATATCTAAGCAAAGCGGAATCGTCTTGATACTCGTTACATTGTATGGGTACAGTTGCCAGTAGCTTGAGAGCTCTCGCAAGCGGTCTTATCGCTTCGCTTTATAGGAATTTTGGCCGTCTTGGTTTTATTGGAAACCAGCGTCGAAATCCAGAGATGGTTTATCGCATTCTTGTGGCGTCTTATACCGACGCTATCTACACACTTGCGTTTGACCCGGCCAAGTCCAAGGACGCCGCTCTGTCACTATCATCTACGCTAGAAGTTGGACATCACCCATCTTGGATTGAACGTCATCCGTCCGATTCGAGCATTATTTTTACGGGACTTGAACAGGCTGACGGACGCCTGCTCACATTAAAATACGACCTAAACAACGGCGAAGGCAAAGTTCTGTCGAACGTATCGAGCGGTGGAGCAGACCCTTGCTCTATACTAGCTACCAATTCCAATGTCTTCGTAGCGAATGTGCGCACTCTCACAACTGATTTCGCGGAAGTTCCGTACTCATTGATTTACATACTTCCAGTATTCGTCCGGTACTGTCGCAATTTACTCTCTTCCATCTGTCCATAGCCCTAGTGGACTGAAAGAGGCTCAATTACCGTTACAATTTTCTGGAAATGGTCCATGCACGGAACGTCAAGGATCATCGCATCCGCATCAGGTTTATTTCTCTAAGCCCAATTCTCCAACTTCGCTAGGGCCTGTAGAAGAGGTGCTCGTTCCCGATCTTGGTTCCGACAAAATATGGCGCCTCAGGAAAGACACGGACGGCAAATGGGAGATAAAAGATGAAATTACCTTTGACAAGCACCAAGGAGGTGGTCCTCGACATATCGTTGTATACGGTATGGACCTTTCTCACCGCAAGACGACCTAGTCGTCTATATGCGTAATAAAAACTTCAGCTTACTGACTTCTAATCAAATAGATTCCAATTTATATACCCTCTTGGAACTCACCAACACCGTCGTCGTACATGATTTCAAGTCGTCTAACGAGAAACCATCTTATGTCACTTCCGCGCGTCTCTCCATGCCAGAAGGTCTTGCCCCATTAACGATGCTTGCCGCTGAGATCCTCTCTCAGCCACCCAGCACCAAGTACCCTTCCCCATATCTCTACGTCTCAAATCGCAATGATCCGCGCCCTCATGGAGACCTCATTTCCATCTTCTCTCCTCTTAAGGAGGGCGCTACAGAGCTCGAGCACGTAGCGGATGTCTCGACAGGTCTCGCACACGTTCGTGGATTCTTGTTCTTTGGGCCTGATGATCGATATATCATTGTTGGAGGTGCGAATGGGGGAGGCGTAAAGGTATTTGAACGTGTCGACGAAGGACGCAATTTGAAGGAAGTTGCTCATTTACCTGTGAATGACACAGGGGCGGGGCTAGCTCCCACTACGTTTTTGTGTCTTTAAATTAGTGTAAGAGATTTGTATGTAAGATCGAGGGAAGATTTCTAGTCGTGTATGAATTATGGTAGCTTGTTGCTTGTATTTTTCAGGCATGTAATGCTATTCTCCAAGCCGATTTGAGATGCTTACTCTCACTATACAATTCAAGCGAGGAGTACGCTGTATAAAAAGAGGAGCTCCCGCTAGGATGATCCTTCCGTATACAGTCGTCCAGTGAAACACATACCTTGCAATAGTAAAGATTCACCGGCTCACTCTCAGCATCACCTCGATGTTCCCAGACTAAAGTAGCTAGCAACTCATTACCTATAAACTTAAACTACCTTAACTTAGCCGTTAAATCTATTTACCTGACGCCAAGTCTCATGTCCCGCGTACAAAACCCACCTACTCTAATACTCGTCCCCACCCTCAGTCTTACACCTCTCATCTGCCATCGCATGCGCGTGTTTGATTGCTTTCTCCTTGTGATACTTCGCCTCTGCGGCAGGGATTGCCTTTTCCTCTACAAGTTTGTCGACTTCGGCGACGGCGAGTGACGCGAGGATTTCCTATATATACGTGCACAACAAAGCAAACGGGGACCGTTGGTCAGCTCAAGAACCAAAAGAGAAAAGGGGGAGTTTAAGGATAGGAGTATTAATGATACATGCCTTCATCGTCCCAATGGGCTTCTTCCCTTCTTTCTTCGCCTTGTGATCATAGGCTTTCATGGCCATAAAAGCGACTGCGCCAGCAGTCTCTGGTCAAGTATCATATACGTCAGCATAATGAATATTAGTCACTGTATTGAAAGCGGTGAGAGGGCTTTGAGTATTAGTACTAACTGGGGTGGCCTTTATGCTCGCCCTTATCCTTGGCGCCCATGAACTCGTTGTATGAGTTCTCCGCATCCTTGTTGCTGTCTTTGTTAAAGAATTTGTCGAACATCGTAGGCTGTTAGTGTTTCTGTTGGATGGCTTCTGTTGAGAAAACTTTGGGGACCCTGGAACATTGGAATAGTGTCGTGAAATGCTCCAGCATCTTATACGAAACCTGTGCCAACCAGAATCGCAATCCTCAACCACAAATGCAGAACTCGAGCCCAGCATAATACGCACGAAAATTCTGTTATTGGGACAAGCGTATTGGCAACTCAACCGAGGAATTAAAAATATCCAGGCTATGTTGGGAACTTTGAAATAATCAAAAGTAGGCAAGACACCTGGACGGTCGCCACGAAGAGTTGCTCTAAACTTTAGAATATCCCATGCTCTGATTTATTATTCGGGATGTGAAAGTGCCGACGTGCCTCTTCCAATCATTATAGTCGACAGGCTAAAACATTTGGGTAGGTAACATGGATGGCAGCAAGATAGCAGACGAACTTCTGCCTTTGGCCAAATTTAGCTCCATAGGCGACATCGGGTACGAGGCAAAGTAAAACTTGTTCCGCCCTATGCTGGAACGCCGCAAGTTGTCATCATATCTCAGTACCATGTCAACTTCCTCATGAGACGTTAAACGGGCAAATTCTTTGCGTCCAGGGCACGTCGAATCGGTGCTGAGACTTGTACACGGAATCTCGGACGTGGTGTCGTCTTCTTAGAACATATTTTTATTCCGGAGTCCCCGTCAAGCGGTTTCTTGACCACGCAATGGTGACACATCGAGCTCAACTGAGTAGCCCAAATGTCCTCCGCAATTTTCGAGGACGTAATGTGAATATAATAATCGCGTAGTGAGCTTGACCCGTTCGAGCTTGAGCGTCACGTGGCTTTCTTCTCCGCAACCCAAAACTCGGCTTTGTATATCCAGCGCATCATCGCCTCTCTATCCGCCGTATACTCGCACTCGACCGTCCTCGTTTTCTTCCTTTCCTCCTCACACTTTCCCTCAGTAACAAAAATGAATCCAATCTTTTCAACCAACTGCACGAGCTCGTCCAGACTTAGCTCCAACGCTGCTTGTCCTCCACTCCTCCATAACAGGGGTCCTAGATTGATCCAAGTCCCTGCAGGCCGGAGCAAGGAATGAATTTGCTCAATTGTGCTGATGATGTTATACGATGTGTCGATGAAGAACTGCGTGACAATAAAATCGTATGAGTTTGCTGGGCCGAGCGTAAGAAAGTCGCCTGAAATGTGTTTGAATGTATTTGATAATCGCGGGAGGACGTCTGGGAAGGAGATGGAGCGGAAGAGGTTTGCGTTGGTTCGTTGGTGAGAGGACCAGTGTGCGTAAGGATGGAGAGTGTGTTGAGATGTGGAGCGTGTTAGGTGTGGGGAAAGAAGAAAGCGGAGGCTGAGGTTCATGAAAGACGATAGTTCGTTCGCGTAACTTGCAAAACCTACGAATTTTTTGAGGAAAAAAAGTATTTGGTCAATATTAATTGAGAGAGATGGCTAAATCTGAGTTGCAAACCTAATTCGCTAATCTCCCAAGCAAGTCGTCCCAGTCCACAGCCAGGAACAAGGACCTTAAGAGTCTTACGTCGTTCTGGGCGAACTCTCTCAAATACCTCTAATATAGGCTTCATCACCACATTCCGTTCTTCGATACTCTCATCGCTCCAGTCTCGGACAAAATGTCTCAAAGCTTCCCTAACGTCCCTCAACTCAATACTCGTCCCATTCGGCAACGCATCAGCATCATCAATACCCGCTTCCCCCATCCCCATCTTGGCGATTGCACGAGTAAGAATAGCGTTCGCCTTCGTCACTTCTTTCAGTTGCTCCAACTTGGCTGGGTAGCCTATCTCGTACCCAAGCCGTTTATGCGCTCTATTGACTTTCGAATAGGTTCTTTGCATTAAATATATTTCTTCTAGCGAGAGTTGTTCGTAGTGGTAAAATGCAGACACTGCGCGTTCCAGTTGACTTTGCATAGTAGACGAAGTGTGTGCGAGAGTGAGTTGTTTCCACGTGTTACGCAGAGACCTGGTTTTGAAGTTAGAGAAGCTGAAGGGAAGAAACTTGAGTCCTAGCATTGAGATGACCAAAAGAAGAATACAATGTAGAAAAGCGTCAGAGAGCAATGCGGCCTGTAAAGTGGAGGACATAGGTGCTTTAGACTTGGCGATTCCCGTCTGAATAGTGCCATAGAAGGTGTCTCTAGACCAGAAAACCTGCAGATTACTCAGTAAATGATCGTTGAGAAAAAGAAAACAAAATGAAAATATTTCTCTCATCTCAACAATCATCGACGCGTGACGCGACACGTGGATCGTTTCTCGTGTCCACTGGCATTCAACCTCTCTCGTGTCTGACGCTGTAAAAAAGACGGTTCGCAAAATGGTGTGTCCATCCAGTAATAATTATTCAGGGATTAGTTGGCTGAAGGGCTATTGCCTAGCAAAATCTCACGTTATATACAACAACCGCATTCCTCATCCTAGACTCGGACGGGCATCGCGTTCTTGCCAAGTACTACCGACCAAAATCGTCTCCGTATGGAGAACTGAAGGGGCTTAATACCGTCAAAGAGCAGAAAGCTTTTGAGAAGGGCCTTTGGGAGAAGACTAAGAAAGCCGGAGGTACGCGTTGGTTTCCTGTTATTGTCAGGTAAATCGAGTGTTGACGATTAATATTGGTATGGTTGATAGGTGACGTTATACTCTACGACGGCCGTTTAGCGGTTTACAAACACTCTCCAGACTTGATATTCTACATCATTGGGAACGCAGACGAGAATGAACTCATGCTCTCACTCGCTCTCAACTCATTCTACGATGCCCTCTCCGTACTTCTACGCAATCAGATCGAGAAACGGGCTGTGTTAGAGAATTACGACCTTGTCATGCTCTGCCTGGACGAGACTGTTGATGACGGGTACGTATTTTTTTCGAATTTTCAAACCTGGTCGTATTGTTGCCTTGACTTTCGACTTGCGATCATTTCGTTTCTTACGCACAGCTTTGATAAATGCGACATGTTTGGCTGAGTTTTCGTCGACAGTGTTATCGTCGAAACGGACTCGACAACAATCGCTTCACGCGTCAGCCGGCCAAGGGCAGATCCGACGGACATCGTGATCAACGAGCAGACGCTGATGAATGCGTATCAAACGGTCAAGGAGAAGATGCAGCAGAGAATACAGCAATTATAGTGCGACGACGGCTATCTATATATTCTAAAGAATGGAGCATAGACTCTAGAGTGGATAATACCGGTATTCTTCCACTTGTACAGATTTCTTTTCGAATTAAATTATTATTGAAGAGAATTTCCATCCTGCTTCGCCACATCTATTTCACCAAGTCTATGGAAACGCCTCCAGAAATACCATACATTAATCGTGCAAGCCTTACAAAGTGAGCTCGCCAGATGGTGTGCTTCTGACTGCAGAAACTCCTAGGACGGGTATGAAGCCTGTAGGCGCACAAATGGCAATCTTTATTCTACTGTGCATCATGATGGAAGAGAGATGTACTCGGTAAATATAGTGAGAGAGACAAAAGTAAGAAATGAGCACTCTAGAATCTGCAAGCTTCAACGAAGGAAAAAAGATTGTATATTTTGTGGTTGGGACTAACTAGTGTGCCTACTCCTTACAAGCATGACACTAACAGCTTATTACCCGGGTACAACCGAACAGTATTGTAGGTTACAACCTGATATAGCTCAGCAGATCCATCACAAAAAAGTCTTAAGTATTGTACTTGCTTGTAATCCCATATATTTTATAAATTTTATAAATTTAGTCTAATAGCATTTAATCTTCCTAGGGGGTTAAGCAATGACAGTACAATGTTAGATAAGTAAGTAAGAATACTTGTAAAACTTTGCAATTTCTATTATAATAATATAAATTGTCAAGTTATACAAGTGATTATAATGTACTTCCTGAGATTACAAGGCTAAGACATACTTATTAATTTGTGAAAGTATAATATCTGCTTATAATGCTTACAAGTCATTACAGGTGTTTGAATAGCTTGCTTTTGCTTAGTATACAATTTTGTGTTAAATAATTAATCAAATAATTAATAAAATATGATTATATTTAATAATTTAATACAAAAATAATAAATGAATGACACATTATTTCTAGAGTCCTGACCCCCTACACTACTAGCAGTCTCTGCCTTGTTCTTTTGTGAGTGGAATTTGTGTCAGAAAGGGATGAACACATTCTTATACTGTTTAATATAGTCTTCATTACTATGTTTGGTTGTTGCTTAGGACCTGTGAGTCAAATTGCATGTGTGTGTGTGTTGAGGTTGAGCAAGCTGAGGAGGTTGAGGCTGCACCTGTTAGGTAGGTAAGCTACTGTAAGAATCCACATACAGGATCTACAGTTCTGTACTACAGAACTGTACAGAAACTGTTGTAAGCTGTCAGGTAGGCTTATATAATAGAGATAAGTGCTCTTACACTATTATATACATTAATATACCTTTTGTATAAATTATAAGATAACAATAGTTATTATTATATTATTATATTATAAATATAACTCTTTTTTTAAGATTATAATTTAAATGTAATACAAGCATAATACTTTAGGTTATTATACAAAGTTAGTATAATACATGTAATAGATTTTATTCATCCTTAGTACTTATGTAGTCTTTATATACATTAATATGTCTTATTTAAATGTTACAATTCATTTACAAACCTTACAATTACTTTACAATGTATATACAATACACATGTTACTTTACAAAGTCTATAAGAAATTATAAGAAATGTGACATTTTCCTAATGAATGCTCTAGATTTCAGTCTAGGTGAACCACTCACACTTACTGTATGCTTTTGTAGTACATTCATCTTTTCTCTCCTATTGTTACTTACTAACCACTTTAAACTAAGCCACACACTTTTCCCACATGCTTGTATTAAGTCCCTCTTTTATTATAACCACCTTTCTTACATTCCTAAATGTATACTATCCCCTTTTGTCTTCCTCTTTAAGTATACATTATGTTCCCCTCTTTTGTTCCCCTTTTATTTTCCCCTTTAGGTATGAACCATTTCCTTAGTATATATAGTTAGTATTCTTTACCTTTGTTGTATTAGTTTGTATTTCTAACTGTAACAAAGGTGAGTCCTTTATTAGTACATGTACAGTTTGTATTTCTGACTGTAACAAAGATACCTTTGTCCTGTCAGCCTTTGTGTGTTACTACAAACTCAGAACTTGTTTATAACAGTGTTTAGTACTTCCCTAGTACTGTTCTACTTTTTTTAACATTAACAAAGTAGTCTTTGTCTTACTACATGTTAGTGTTAGCAACAGTGTAGAGGGGACCTGAAGGCTCAGTAAGGGGACCTAGGCTACAACTATCCTACACAACAGAAATACAGAATGTAAGCACCAGAATGTAGTCAGAACTTACAGAACAGGCAGAGAGAGAGAGTAAGACAAGAGTAGAGTATATAGAGTAAGTCTAAGAGTACAGGACTACCTGGAGTAGACAAGATCAAGACTACAGAACCAGTCTGATCTTGTACACCTATATATACTAAACTACACAAGAGTACTCAGGGAGTATGAGCTACTTAAGAATGATAAGCCACAAAGAATGAAAGAAAGGAATGTCAAAAATAAAGGTACAAAGAATAAAGGGATAGACAAAGGGTAAGAGACTATAGAATGATACAAAGAATGAAGGGGTGGTTAAAGGAATGGAATGATGAAGTAAGGAAGGGTAGTAGTAAGAGTCAGCATGCATATAGTCTATAGACAGTACCCCTAAGGGATAGAAGTCCTGAGTTCTAATACAGAAGGGTGTAGAACCCTTAGAACTGAAGGTACAAGAGTAGAGAACTGTAACATTACCCCCCCTCTAAAACCAATCATCCTGATTAGTAAGTATTAGGCTTGGTCAACAGCTCAGGTATAGGTTAGAACAGTAGGGTTTGGAAATCTGTAAGGCAGAGTTGATGTGGAGCACCCAGATGAAGTCAATAAAAGTCTTAGATTGTCTTAGTAGTATGGGTGAGATTCTCAGCAGGTTCCTAAGTGTGTTCTTCAACTGGGTATCCCTTCTAGTAGATAAGGAACTTGAGCTTTCTATACACTAGCTTAGTATCTACTACATACTCTACTTTGTATTCTGGTTTGGAACCAATGAGTTCTGGTAGAGGTGGTGGGGGTCTTTGTTGTGAAGGAAAACTCAGATCATAGTATTGAGACAGTAGAACCTTGTTAAACACTAAGTGTATGTACTTCTATGTTGCTAGAAGTTGGAGTTTGTAGGTAGAGGCACCAACCTTCTTTTCAATAACAAAGGGTCTGAAGTGCTTGTTGTCCAACTTCTTTATTAGACAATCTGTAGTCAGGTTAGTAGCTTCTAGTATAACTTTGTCACTAGGCTGGTAATCCTTAGCTACAGACCTCTTCCAATCATAGTTCTGCTTTATAACCTGTACTACCTTTTCTAAAAGAGCTTGTGTGTCCTCCCTAGTTCTGTACATCTGTTCTACAAAGTCTGTTACAGATTCAGAACTACTGTTCTAGTTTAGAACTGTCCCCTAGTACAGATGTCTTCTATGATTGAGAAAGAACAGGAATTGTCCTGTTGTAGAGTATTGTCAGTTATTGTGTACAAATTCTACTAGAGCTAACCATTCAGACCAATCTGATTACTAATGATTAATGAACATCTGGAGGTAGAGTTTGATCTCCTGATTGACTTGCTCAGTTTGACTGTCAGTTTACAGGTGATATGTAGTAGAAGGGTTCCCTTGAATTCTGAGAAGCACATACAAGTCCTACATGAATTTTGACTCAAATTACAGTCTACAATCATGAATAAGCTTCTGAGAGAGTCTGTGTAACTAGAAGACATGATTCTAATAAATGTGCACCATACCTTTAGAAGTGAGTTCTGTTTAGGTTGGAACTGTGTAGACTTACTTAGAGAATTGGTTAACAATTATACAGATAGTATTGTAACCCTAAGACTCAGGTAGCTTACTAATCAGGTTTACTAAGACTTCTTCCTAAGGGTGATCCAGAATCTAATACAAATGTAGGAGAGCCCAAACCCTTGTCTAGTAGGCCTTAGTCTGTTAGTACATATTATAACTAGTCACATACTTTAGGATTTCCCTCTGTATTCTGGGCCACTAGTAGTTTCAAGTAATGAGTTCCTACATTTTGTGTTGGCTCAAATGTTCTACAGTCAGATTGTTATAATAAGCTTGGACAATGTCCTCCTACAGCTTCTAATTCTTCAGAACATACAGTTGGCCTTCCTAGTAAACCTGTCCATCCTCATCCTCCTCCTAATCCCTTGCCTGCTTCTCTAGCTGCTTTACTATAACCTAGTCCTGTGTGTGTCTTAGAGCTTACTGTATGTAGGTGACAAAGTCAACATTCTTGGATTTGAGTCAGATCTCTTGGATTGTCTTAGATGTGAAACAGGAATTGTCTAGGAGAACAAGATTTTTGTTATCATTCTCCCCCCTTTCATGACCTACTTGTCTTGAGAGTAAATCAGCTTTCATCATTTGTGTTCTGGGTTTGTAGATTAGTACAAAGTTATAGTCTTACAGTTCTAACATCCAGTAGGCTTGACAGTAGTTGAGCTTCTGAGGCACTCAGAAGTACTAGAGATTAAGGTGATCACTCTAAATCTCAAACTTCTGTACAGTACTAAGGAGATATTAATACTACTCCTCTAGAGAACAGACAATTGTAAGGAGTTCCTTGTTATAGATAGGGTAGTTCTGTTCTGTTGTAGAGAGGGATTCTGATCAGAATGCTATTAGATACTACTTTCTGTTAATGAACTAAGACAGTACTACTCTATTTGCAAAGTTGGAAGAGTTGGCTTTAACTTAGAACTTGTCCACAACTGTCAGAACTACTAATACAGGCTTACTAGTAATGGCCTGCTTCAGGGACTTGAACACAGACTGTTACTAATCCTCCTATTACTAAGGAACATCTTTACTAGTAAGATTGTGAAGGGGCTAGGTGATAGTACTAAAGTCTTGAATAAAGTATTAGTAGTAGTTCACAAACCTAAGGAACACTTAGACCTGTTTCAGGTTCTAAGGTTGTAGCCAGTTCTAAACTACAGTTACCTTTACTAGATTTATACAGACCTCTCCTCCACCAATCACAAAGCTCAGATAATCTACTGACTCTTGTGTAAAGGAG